AACGAAACCCAAAATTTAAAGTTCAGTTTCTACTGAATGTGTAAGGTTTCCCTAGCATCCCAACGTCGAAAACTTGTAAGTCAAACCATTGTAAGTCGGGGACTCTCTGTAGAGCCTGAAGTCACTTATGACCCTGCCTGGTACTCTCGTGCAGCATGAGTCTCAGCGTTTATCATCGCAACCAGTATCAGTTCTGGAAAATCCTGTGACGTCTGACAAGCATTATTCTCACTCTTTGTTTAGGAAGTTGCCAGGCATAGAGAGTTTGGAAGACTTGCCCCTAGGTACGAATTTACAGGGATTTAGCCCCTAGGTAGGCAGGGACACCATATTTCTGATTCCCACCCCTAGTCTTTTATCTTTGATCCCCGCCTCTCCTGCTGTATCTCAAACCTGACCATTTATCAGAACCACCCAGAGAGCTTCCTAACACAGACTGCAGACTACAGGCTCCACCTCCCACTTCTCCCCATGATGTATTCAGATTAGATTCAGGAGGCCTGGGGCAGGGCCCAAGTTCTGCGTCTCTAACAAGTTTCCAGGTAATGTTGATGCTGCCGATCCAGGGACCCCACTTTGAGAACCCCTGGTCTAAATCAGTGCAGTGCCTTTAAGGAATCACATCTGTCCTTCCACAGCATACCCGATGCACACACAGGGCATTAAACTATCTGGAACCTGGTCAATGCTCCATAGATGGTTTTATTTTCTTTCGTTTTTGTCACAGGTTCCCTCTGTCCGGCTCTTGATTCTCCAGGCTGACAATTTGGTCCCTCATTCCTTTGGTCCATTCCTGCACTGCCCCTCTGATTTGCAATACACGGCTTTCTTTCCAGCTGTGACCTTGGCTGCTTTCCACAAAGGCTCTGACTTGCCAGCGTGGCTCTGCTCTCTCTGATCCAGCCCACTGAACCCTCCTCAGCAGCCCACAGCCTCACAGGTGGGATCTGCAGGCTACTATCTGATGAAGTCAGCTAAACCCACCCCCGCCACGACCTACCTCTGTCACAAAAGACAAGCGTCTCTTCTCCAAAACAAGGGCATCAAATCATAGGACTGCGGATCATAGGAAAGCGACACAGTAGACACCGCAAGAGGAGCACAAACTCCTTCATTGTTTCCTGCTTAGAAAACAAGGGAGGGACGGAAGAGAGGATTAAAAGGGAGTGGGAGAAAGAATGCAGTGGGGAGGCTGCTTTGCTCCCCAGAACCTAAAATAGGCAAATGCCTGTGGATATAAATACAATAATAATAATAGAATAACAAAAATGTAACTCATACTAGCAGGGTTTTCATATCTTAACAGTATTTTGACAACAAATGTTCATATTTCATTTGAAATTTATGAAACCTTTGTGCCCGTAATCCCATGAGCAGCAACATGGTAAATGAAAGTAGCAGGCCGTCTAGATTAATCATATGTTGCTTCATATTGGAAGAGCATTTGAAAGAAGCAGCTTGCTTTATCTATTCCCTGTGTTTACGATCCTGGTATTGGCACAGACTGGGGCTTCTAAGACTGGCTGGGAAATATTCATAGATGTGTTATTAATTTATGGGAAACTGAAGGACCTACCTCAAGGTTTAAGTAGGCCATTTAGAAACTGCAGGAAGTACGTGTGAAGATACATAGCAGAATGCAGTGAAAAAAGAGAGTGGTGGGGTGATTCAGGGCTTAAATCAAGAGCAGGAAGAGTAACTTCAGAAAGCTGCAATAGTTGACATTCTAATAAAGCATTCTTATGAGAAAAAGCAATCTGTTCACATATGAATTCTGCTATATGCTTCCATCTTCGCATGGTCTAGAAGGCCATGTCAGTAATCTGCAGTATTTACATGGGCATGCAGAATGCCTTTGCTGGTTAATATGAATAAGTGGGCTGGATTTACTGTGTTTCTAATGTTGAATACACACTCCACGCAGGCTGCTCCCAGAAGCCAGGTGGAATGTATGGGTTGGCACTGAATTTCAAATGGATGCTGGAGTGACGTGATGGAAGGCGAGACTGACGTGGTGTCTAACGCTTCTCAGTGGAAGGTGCTTCTGCCTTGACAATGGGCAGGGCATTGTTTCAGTAAAGGGAGGAGAAGACCAGCTAAGAATGTGGCCCTTTTTGTCGAGCACTTGCAGAAGCTGTAAAGACCATGGTCGCAGCTTGCAGACACAATCACCCTTTCCACAGATGTCTAGCAGGATCCCTGTGACCCCACCCTAACTTCTGACTGTACTGTAGTTTATTTGATTTTAATCTTATTTTATTTATTTTGAGATGGAGCCTCTCTGTTTCCCAGACTGGAGTGCAGTGGTGTGATCTCAGCTCACTGCAACCTCTACTTCCTGGGTTCAAGCGATTCTCCAGCCTCAGTCTCCAGAGTAGCTAGGATTACAGGTGAACATCACCACACCTGGCTAATTTTTGTATTTTTAGTAGAGACAGGGTTCCACCATGTTAGCCAGGCTGGTTCTGAACTTCTGATCTCAAGTGATCCACCTGCCTCAGCCTCCTAAAGTGCTAGAATTAAAGGCATGAGCTACCACGCCCAGACTTCTAAACCCTTTTTACATTTTTTTTTTTTTTTTTTTATGTTACTGAGTCTGGTCAAGTCTGAGGCTCTTATAACAACAACATTAGTATGAAAACAGAGGGAATTCACAGCTTGAAGGATGAAGAATGAAATCACATCTTCCCCTAGATCAACAAGTCACAACCTCGGTGCTGCTCATATTTAGAGTTGTGCAGTTTTCTGTGGTAAGGGTCACCTGTGCATTGCAGGGCGGTCAGTAGCTCCCTGGCCGTTCATCCACTTGATGCAATAGCAATGTTATTACGCCTTGATTAACAATGTCTCCAGACACTGCCAAATGTCACCTAACAGGTGACATTGTTTCCCTGCTCTAGAGGAGGGCCCACCACCTGGAATACTACTCTAGGAATATTTGGTCCTGTGTAAATGTTAAACAAAAATGAGTATTTATAATATATTTGTATTATCATGGTTAGGGATTATTTGGAAAAATACAGAATGAAGCTGGACAAATGGGAATACAGGGCGGCTGACAGAGCAGGCATCATATTTTGGCAATGGAACTTGGAAGTAATAAAGGAAACGGAGAGAAAATTAACTGGAGTATAGAGGACTTCCCCTAAGATACGCAGAGGAACCTGTGGATGGTGGTGGGGGTGGGAAGCATGCTTTCATGGGCTGGACTTCTAGAACTATAGCAAAAACCATGAGATGGAGATAACGCCCAGCCCCAAATCCAGAAAGGCGGTCAGTATCCGGGTTGAAAGATGGGCAAAGAAGTGCTTTTTAAATATATATTGTCTGCAACAAAGCAACATACATTTATAAGCATCTTGCGAAACCTTCCAAGGAGAGAGATCTAAAAGGTTGCTGGCAAGCTCTGGATCGCAAATAAAAATGAATAATATGACGTCCATATGGCTGGGCTTTCAATCTCTTCCGTGGACACAACCCCCAGAGCAAAAGGGATCCCCAGGGAGAGAAGGGTGTTTAACGACTCAAGTGTTATCTCTAAAACACCATACAAAGGATATCTTCTATTAGAGAATATCCGCGTTTGTTTTCACTGTAAACAACATGGTGTATTCACCAAAAAAAAAAAAAAAAAAAAAAGTCGTCTCTTTAAGAAAATATGCCTTGTTTCCTATCACTTTCAACGAACTCTGGCATCGGTATCCCCAACAGGAAAACCTGGGGACACTGATACCCCAGTTCAAAAAGCATGAAATTAAGATGGTCTTCTTGTTTCACAGGGATTATAAACAACATATTTATGGGACTCCACTGGTGACCCTAGTCCCTCAACTCACTGTTTCCCCAATTGTTAAGTTTTATAAACATGGAGGTGGGGATTCAGGCATATGGACCTTGCAGGGAGAGAGGAACAGCTATAAGTCTACAGGTGTTACCCATAAGAGCTCCTTGGATGTCTCAGAACCCAAAGGCAGGCATTTTTAACGAACAGATGTCAGCCAGGTGTGAGCCACTTTGAAGTGGGCATTGCTCTACTGTAATTCCTTATAAATGGGGATTGATGGAAACAAATCTCCTTAAAGGCAATCTATACTTTGGTGAGGACTAACGCTGTGGGAACTAGCAAGGAAGCTATGGTTTCTTCAAGTCCTTTAAGAAAACCTTTGAAATATTCAAAAGGAATTGGAAAACAAAAGTTGTGACTTCTCTTCCCTTTACTATTAGATTGAGAGAAATGGATCATATGTTAATAAAACCTTAGGAGTTCAACAGTCCTGGGTTGAAATATAACCACGCTCTCTTCCTAGCACATGGCTTTCCTCACTGTATTAGTCCGTTTTCATGCTGCTGATAAAGACACACTGGAGACTGGGAAGAAAAAGAGGTTTAATTCGACTTAGAGTTCCACATGTCTGAGGATGCCCCAGAACCTTGGTGGGAGGCAAAAGGCACTTCTTCCATGGTGGCGGCAAGAGAAAATGAGGAAGAAGCAAAAGCAGAAACCCCTGATAAACCCATTAGATCTCATGAGACTTATTCAGTATCAGGAGAATAGCACGGGAAAGACCAGCCCCCATGATTTAATTACCTTTCCCTTTAATGTGTGGGAATTCTGGGAGATATAATTCAAGTTGAGATTTGGGTGGAGACAGAACCAAACTGTATCATTCACCTATAAACTCAGAGCTAATGGTAACTCTCTCCCACAGGGACTGCAAGGGTGAGGTGAGACAATGCTTTTTTCTTTTGCTTTTGTTTTTCCTTTTGGAGACAGGGTCTTTTCTCTCTGTTGCCCAGGCTGGAGTACAGTGGCAGCAACATGGTTCACTGCAGCCTCAACCTCCTAGACTCAAGCAACTTCCTTGCTTCAGCCTCTCAATTAGCTGGGACTACAGGTGCACATCACTACATGCAGCTAATTTTTTTAGTTTTTGTAGAGATGGGATCTCACTTTGTTGCCCAGACTGGTCTCAAACTCCCAGGCTCAAACCATTCTCTCACCTTAGCCTCTCTAACTGAGGAAATTACAGGTGTGAACCACCATCCCCAGCCAGATGAGGTTTTCTCAAGCACCATGTAGGCTGAAGTAAGAGTCTTCCTTTCTGTCACCTTTGTCATGTGATAAAACTATGTTGAAAATGAAATGATTGCAAACTTTTTGCAAGATAAGAATTCCACAAAATCAGAAAGACAACAGTCCGTCAGAAAGAGAAGCGAATCAGAAGTGACGTCCTCCTACCAGGCAGTCTGAAACCTGCAATCACAAACAAGAGAAGCACAGCTAAAATGCGAGGCCCTGGGTGGACATCTATTCTCCTACTGCACAAACACCAGGGGAAATACTGTGCTTTTGCTTTTATGAACTTTTAAAGCAATAATGACTTGTATTCAACGCACTCTTACTTTCAAAAAGGAGTCATTAATACATTTTATGAAGTCAGAACCCATTAGTGAAGATGTATCGAGTGCATCTGCTTAGTGGAGATTATCAAAGGAGGTCTAGGAATGGCGTTGGACGTATAGATTGGGACCTGGTTTCACAAATGGATAAAGACTACAGAAACGTGAACACAAGGGCTTCAGCCACCTGCAATATTTGAAAACCCCCAGGTATTGATGCAGCGCTAAGAGACAACGTCAAGCCATCCTGGGAAGGCTACTGGAGCTCTTGAAATATACGCGTATGTAATTCATTTTACTGTATGGTTTTTATAGAATCACTTGCAGTGCTTAAATAATTCAGGGACTTAATGGTAGCAGTTTATTCATGCATGCATCCAGGCTGTGACTGGAAAAAGCCTAGATAAAGGGACAAGACAAAGAACCAGCTTTCGAGCATCCTTTTGAGTTTGCAACTATGAATATATTCACATATGTGTCCTGTTTCCACCAAATGCTTTCATAACTTCATTCAACAAACATTTCTTCATTTTTTTTTGGAGACAGAGTTTCACTCTTGTTACCCAGGCTAGAGTGCAATGGTGAGATTTTGGCTCACAGCAACCTCTACCTCCTGGGTTCAGGCAATTCTCCTGTCTCAGCCTCCCGAGTAGCTGGGATTACAGGCATGCGCCATCATGCCCAGCTAAATTTTTTTTTTTTTTTGTATTTTTAGCAGAGATGGGGTTTCACCATGTTGACCAGGATGGTCTCGATCTTTTGACCTCGTGATCCACCCGCCTCGGCCTCCCAAAGTGCTGGGATTACAGGCTTGAGCCACTGTGCCCGGCCCCATTTTTAAAAAAATTTTCAGACAATGTCTCCTTCTGTCACTCAGGCTAGAGTACTGTGGCATGATCATGGCTCACTGCAGCCTTGAACTCCAGGGCTCAAGAGATCCTTCCATCTCAGTCTCTGGAATAGCTAGGACTACAGGTGAATGCGTCCACACCTGGCTAATTTTCTTTATTTTTTGTAGAGATGGGGTCTCGCTGTGTTGCTCAGGCTGGTCTTGAACACTTTGCTCAAGCAATCCTTCTACCTCAGCCTTCCAGAGTGCTGGGGTTACAGGTGTGAGCCACCGCACCTGGCCAACAGACACTTCATATGTGTTCACACCATGTGCACCATATCTGGTCCTAGACAACACATGGTCCCGATCCTTAAAGAGTTGACAGTGTGTTGGCTGGGTGGTTAAAACGTTATCCTGGTCGGGCTTGGTGGCTCACAACTGTAATCCCAGCACTTTGGGAGCCCAAAGTGGTTGGATCACCTGGAGGTCAGGAGTTCGAGACCACCCTGGCCAACATGGTGAAACCCCATTTCTACTAAAAACACAAAAATTAGCTTGTCATGATGGCATTCACCTGTAATCCCAGCTACTTGGGAGGCGGAGGCAGGAGAATTGTTTGAGCCCGGGAGGCAGAGGTTGCAGTGAGCTGAGATTACATCACTGCACTCCCACCGGGGCAACAGAGTGAGACTTCACCTCAAAAACACAAAAGTTATCCTGACATTTGTTAACATGGTAAGGAAGACTGTATGCAGGATTATTGCAACAGGATTCAAGACTGTTGCAATAGGGAAGAGAGATAGGGCTCAACTCCAAATATAATAAAGACAGCTGGGGACTTATAGCCAAAGAGCAGAGCGGCAGGGCAGCGGGAGGGTCAGTGGATGGAAAATTACTACAAGGAACCACGAGGGTAGGAGTATTCCAACTTAACCAATTTAGCAAGATTCTTGCTGAAGGCAGGCGAAGGTGTTCAGATATCAAGGGTGAAGGGATTCTCTCTAAATTGACTTAGCAGGACTCTTGCTAAGACTGGACTATGAAGATCCAGCAAGGACAGAGGACCAAGGTCAAGGCCTAGTTGAGAAGTGGGCTCTGAGGAGCCAAGCTAAAGTTTGGTCAAGGAGTCTTTGCCAGAGGGATAGAAGAGTTCAGAAGTCACCCCAGAATATTAGGGGACTCAGCCAGGGTTTGTTACGGAAATACAACATCTGGGGTATTTGGGGAGCAGGAGGAGTAAGCAAAGGAAAAATACAAGGCGTTCAGACAGCATGTGTGTGCAAAGCACAGTTTGGCAACCTTCCAATGGTGACGTGTAGCTTGAAGAGCATTTCTCAATGGCCTCATTACTGCCATTTTGGGCTGAATGATTGTTGGTGGGGTAGGGTTGGAGGGTGGGAGTCCTGTGTGTTGTGGGATGTTCTGTAGCATCTCTGACTGCATTAGTCTGTTCTCATGCTGCTAATAAAGACATGTGAGACAGTGTAACTTTTAAAGCAAAGAGGTTTAAATGACTCACAATTCAGCATGGCTGCAGGGGACTCAGGAAACTTATAATCATGGTGGAAGGGGAAGCAGCATGCCCTTCTTCACATGGCAGCAGAAAGGAGAAGTGCCAAGCAAAGGGGCAAAAGCCCCCTATAAAACCACCAAATGTCATGAGAACTCACTCCCTACCGTGAAAATACCATCGGAGTCACTGCCCACATGAGTCAATCACCTCCTACCGGGTCCCTTCTGTGACACGTGGGGATTATGGGAACTACAATTCAAGATGAGATTTGGGTGGGGACACAGCCAAGTCATATTACTGACATCTACCCACTAGATGTCAGGAGCACCCTCCCTCAATCCCTCGTCTCTTCCCCAAGTTCTGACAACCAAAAAATGCCTCAAGACAAGATCAATTATCCCTTGGGGGCCAAACTGCCCCATGCAGAGTAACAGTGGCTGAAAGGATGGCCGGAGAACTCCTGCAGGACGGGGAGGTAGGACAGCTGCCTCTGCTGAGGAAGGCATGATATAATGACGGCAGAAGCTTCTATTCTCTAAATATGGTGGTTTAATATGCAATAGAGAGAGGAAAAATAGAAAGAAGTGAATGGGAGTTAGTGCATCGGGATCTGGAAAAGTAGGATTTGTCAGGATCTTTTTACAAATGAAGTAACTTACATAATGACGCATCGTGAATGATCTTTGTCAATTTTCTCTTGGAAAATCTTCCAATTTCGGATTAAGAACTAAGGATAAAGATGCTGCAACAAGAAACAAAACCAAGCTTTCTACGGCTTAACTAAATAAATCACTGTTCTTCAAAACATTTGCACATCTTGTTACTTTTATATACATAGTGAGGCCTCACTTTTTTTTTCCTAGCTTACATTCAAAATTCATTTCTACTGCAGAAAACTTTAAGATATAAAGAAAAAGATAATCATTCCCGGTTTGTGAGTTTGAATTGTGGCTCTGTGAGACCCTACAATGATTTCAAAAATTATTTACTCATTTAAACAACTCTTGTTTCAGCAACAATTAGCAGCAAACCAAAAAGCAAGTTCATTTGTACCAAACTAGATCTGACCTTACTGGCATTTTCTTTTTTACCTCTAGCACAATTAGCAAAAGAAAGGGAGTGGGGCATTTAACACGCCTTTCCAGGTAATTTTTAATCTGTTCTAATGCATGAATTTTAAAATGCCTACTTGGGAGCTTCAGGGATTACTAAATAATAAGCCCTGAAGGTTCCCAAATCCGGTTAATAGTCAGACCTGGAGAATATGAAATATAGTGTTAATTTGGAGTAACATCAGGCCTAAAAATGACGCAAGTTACATCTAATTGAGCTATGAAGTGCTTGCCTTGTACTGTGTAATAGAAGCTATGCTAACTGAGGGTTGCTGAGCTATAGATAACCATTACTCTTAGAAAATATGTTTACTGGGGTCTCTCTCTCCTCATTACTCAACCTCATAAAGTATATGTCTGCGTATTCCGATAAAACATAAAATGGCAAGGCAGAGTCACACTTAGGCTACCCTGAGAAGCTGCATCATAAAACGGTGTCTGTCTCCAAATGACTGTTCACTTAACCATGATAAATATTTATCAGCATGCAATAGAACAAATCCTTCAACAATCTTAGGCCACGTGGAAAATGGACTTCTACATTTTCGAGTCTCCTCTTTTGGTAAGTACAACCCTTTAACCTCAAATGTAATCTCATGAGATTTTGAGTTTAAATTATAACTATGCCATAGAAACACTGAGAACATATTGGGTTCATATTTCCAATATCTACTTAAAGCAACTTGGATTTACTGTTCTATCATGAACAGAGACAAGAGAACTGTGTGAACAGTGTGAAAATGAAACACTGTTAATTTGGGTAGTCACTCAATGTGTAACCATTTATGTCATCCGTACTCTCATTGGAAAAAATGTGTATTAAATGATAAAATAAAGATGGAAATAAATTCCTTAATGATCCCTACCCTCTTGTTGGCCATGATGTGGCAACTGGGGAAACGTAAGAAAAACTGAGATATATAACCTGATGTTCCACTTAACTTGGATGGCACAGGCCTTTGCTGTGTGGATATGGAATCTGTTTATTACCATGTGGCTTCATAAACAGTCAACAGAAAAATGCCAGATGAAAAAAGAACATGGCCTTCCTGGGTGAGTTTTGGAAATGAAGCCTGTCTCCTAGCCACAGATAATAGTTTTTGAATTATTATCTCTGAGTATCTGAACTATTAACTCAACTCTGTCTCTGTTAGATAGCTAGAGAAGGCATCTGGAGTGCAGGGTGGAGCTGCTTATAAACATAAATACCTTCTGGCCTTTCCTTAAACAACTGGATTCCTAGAAGAATGTCCTATGTCACTGGTTCTCAAAGCAGAGGACTTCCAGAAACACAAACAGCTGGGCCCACTCCCCTCAGTGTTTCTGATTCAGAATTTCTGGGGTGAAGCCAGAGAATATGCACTTGTAACAGATTTCTCAGTGGTGCTGGTGTTGCTGGCCTGGGAGCCACACTTTGAGAACCGGATTCCTGCATCTAAAGAAGGATCCACAAGGGAAAAACTTCCAGTGAACATTGGGTCCTGCCAGTTTGAATGTCTTTCCCCAGTCTACAGATCCCAAATCAAACACATTCTCTTCATTTCTTCCTATACTCCCCCATCTTTCCTCCCTCCTTTTGTTTTATTACATTTCAAATTCCCTATTTCTTCTCCTTCTTTTTTTTTTTGAGACAGAGTTTTGCTCTTGTTGCCCAGGCTGGAGTGCAATGGCTCGATATTGGCTCACTGCAACCTCCACCTTCCAGGTTCAAGCGATTCTCCTGCCTCAGCCATCCGAGTAGCTGGGATTACAGGCACACACCACCATGCCCAGCTAATTTGCATATTTGTAGTAGAGATGGGGTTTCTCCCTGTTGGTCAGGCTGGTCTTGAACTCCCAACCTCAGGTTATCTGCTTAATTTGGCCATCCAAAGTACTGGGATTACAGGTGTGAGCCACCATGCCTGGCCCCAATTCTAAGTCTCCTATTCTCTTCCCATCACCCATGGGTCCATGTCTCTCCTCCCTCTCTCCCTCCCCACTTCTCTCTCTTTTCTTTTCTCTCTCTCTCTCTCTCTCTCTCTCTCTCTTTTTCTTGACTATGCCCTGAGATCTTTCCCTCAACAATGGTTAGCCTCCCACCAGGCTCTCAACAGTGACCAAGATTACAGATACACCCCACATCAGTGAAAGACACGAGCCAACAGCTTACTTCCTGGCAAGCAGATTAAGGGGCAACTGTGGGACTAATTTTAAAGAGGAAGGATAGGAGTTTTGTGCTAAGCATTCAGTAGCAGAAGCTTCTCTGCCTTTGCTTTTAGTACCGCAAAAGCAAAACATATATTGCTATGTGAACTATACATAGAACAGTTACATACACACTGCTGGCAGACCAACTAGGTTTTCAACATTAATTTTCTTTTTGGGGGCTATTCTTGCATTTTAGGATACATAGTCCCTAGGTCTAGTTTTAAAATGCACTTAACTCCCATGCTAGATGAAGATTTACAACAAAAGTAACTATTATGAGAATACTCCTACGTGAAGATCTGCTGTAAACAGACAGCTCTTTATGACTTTACTGTGTCAGACTCTCAATATTAGACACATACAAAAAAAAATCACACAGTGAAAGTTATTGGGCTGCAGAATAGTTTCCCAAGGGATGTCCCTAGGACTCATCACTTGAGTCATCTGAAGCAAGACTGAACCAAATACTTGACTGTACCATTAGGGAACACTCCTGCCCTGGCTGAGGGTGGACAAGATGACCTCACAGATCTCTCCCAGTCCTCCCAGGGTCATAAAAACAGAATGGAAACTCTGACTAGACATCCCACTGCAGGGAGAAGTGGAGATCCTAGCAGACTGAACAGCAAGATCTCAGTGGGTGGACCCTGTTACAGCACACAGCAAAGAGAAAAAAAAAATCCTAAGGACTGTGGCCAAAGGACACCCCAGAATAAAAATCACATTGAGAACACTCCCCAGTGAGGCTCACGATGCATTTTTGCAGACAGAGCTGTAAAATGATATGTTTCCTAGTTTCTGATACACACTATGAGCGTTCCCATGCTCTGACTATAAGACGACTGAATTACAAGTGAAATACACTTGTAATTCACAAAACTCATTTCTCAAAGGAGTTTTAGTAACTGCCTCATTGAAACATGGGAACAAAGAAAAGCTCAGTTAGGTGACAACTATGGTGTTTCTATAGATCAATATGATGAGGCCCATTACGAATATAGTTCAATGCAGCCCAAACTGAGATTAACCTGGAAGAAGATAACTGCCCCCTCAACCCTCTTCATGTCAACTACTTGGGCAGTGCCCTTTCTCAGCCTTTAGCAGGGAGGGAGGAGGGTTCTGTGAGGCCCCACGTGGCTTCTCCACCCCAGGGATGTTGCAGCTGTGAAGCACAACCTAAGCCAGCAGGCATGCTTGCATCACATCCAGGTCCCGTAGTACATCTGGGGGAACTGCAAAAGGGTGGGGTGGAGAGGAATTCTGGACTTGATCGGACTTAACACACCACAGCTGTCATTCCAACGCAACTGGCGCTCAACTGCAAAACCAGTTATCCCTGCCCACTCGCACTCCCTGCTAAGGAAAACTCCCATGATTCATGGGTCCTCCTACTTGCGTGGGTTTCATATCACCTGCCACCACTCCCCTTCCCCACTCTGAGTACACCTGGAGAGATCACAGGTCCAATCATATGTGAGCCAAGGGCAAATCTGTCCAGATGTCTGCTCTGCAATCTACCAATGGCAAAGATGACTCATACAAGTAGATTTCCGCACTAGGGAACTGGGAAACTGACTTGAAGCCTGCAGCAGCTGATGAAAAGATGCCATAAGGTCGAGTTGAGTTGCACGGTCATGAGAAAAAGTAGCATGTGTGAGTCAAAATTGTGAGGGAGGGCAATGAATAAATCTAGCAGTGAGAGAAGGAGCTAGTCAGACAAAAAGAACTAGGCGGCTCTGCAGGAGGGGATCACAGGAGACAGTTCCCCAAAACTGCCTCCTTTCCTCAGCTTGCCAATGTTATCTCTTACAACAAACCTTTTTCTTAGAAGAGGTGGCACAAGTAAAACTGTTCCTTGTGACCAAAGAAGCCTAATTAAACACTCAGAAAATCTGAATTCTACATCATGGTAAGCTCCTCACGCCCCAAATCATGGCCACTGGGTATTGAACATGAAAAGTCCCACAAATCCTTGAAGACCATAGTTTATCAATGATATCGAAAATAAGGGGTGAGGTGTGGCAGATCAAGCCTGTAATCCCAGCACTTTAGGAAGCCAAGGCAGGAGGATCACTTGAATCCAGGAGTTCAAGACCAGCCTGGGCAACAAAACCAGACCTTGTCTCTGTTTTTATTTTCATTTAATTGTTATTATTATTATTATTATTATTATTGAGACAGAGTCTCACTCTGTCACTCAGGTTGGAGTGCAGTGGCACGGTCTTGGATCACTGCAACCTCTGCCTCCTGGGTTCAAGCAATTCTCCTGCCTCAGCATCTTGAGTAGCTGGGGGATTAAAGTGTTGGCCAATGGTGGCCAATGGTGGCCAGCTAATTTTTGTATTTTTGGTAGAGACAGGGTTTCACCATGTTGGTCAGGCTGGTCTCAAACTCCTAACCTCAGGTGATCCACCGCCACTTGGCCTCCCAAAGTGTTGGGATTACAAGCACGAGCCACAGCGCCCGGCCCCTTGTCTCTATTTTAAAAAAATAAACTTAAAAAAATTGTTAAACACCAATTAACATTCAGTGTTCTCCTTACCTGCACTTTTGGAAACTGGAAACAGAATTTAGAAATCGTTCTGGGATAGAACACAACAACATGGCATCTGGAATCAGATCCTAGGTTTTAAATGATTATCCTTCCTACCCCACCAAAGGTATCAATTAGAGCAGCCTACAGATTCATTTCTTAAAATTTCTCATCTTAAAACAGAAGTGTCATTGTCACAGAATCATTCATTCGCTCAGGGAAATCATTCACTTGGAGCTTATGAGGTTTACTCATGAAAGTATGTCTTTGCAAAACACCTCCTGTGCATTATCCAAAGATCCTAAGCACACCTGTTCTCTTTGCAGCAGGCATTAAGGCAGTATCCCTTGTCCCACGCTGGGGACAAGTGAATGGTGCAAAACGTACTGGCTCCAAATTATCCTGAAGGGAAGAAATATCTTTCTTTAAAATTTTGTTTTCCTTTTTTATTGTTTAATAGGGATGGGATCTTACTATACTGCCCAAGCCAATCTCAGACTCCTCAAGCAATCCTCCTGCCTCAGCCTCACAAAGTGCTAGGAGTACAGGGACGAGCCACCACACGTGGGCTCTTTGCTTCTTCAGAGACAGGGTCTTGCTGTATCATCCAGGCTAGAGTTCAATGGCATGATCATAAGTCACTGCAGCCTCCAACTCCTGGGCTCAAGGGATCCTCTGGCCTTGGCCTTCTGTGTAACTGGGATTACAGGCACATGCCACCACGCTCAGCTATAGGAAAAATACTTTATTAAAGAGTGATGCCAAGTGTATGCATGCAGAGACATTTATCCTCACTGGTACAAAATGACTGAGCTGAAAGGTTGGTAAGTGTTTAAACAGAGGATTGTTATTTCATGACAGAAGAGTGGCACAGTGTGTTAGGGCCCAGTTGTCTAAATCAAGCGATTCTAGCAGATCCTGATTTGTAGGTGTAAAAAATAGTAATTAGTAAAAATTAAGTAATAGAGCAGAGGCTATGTGCTGTGTATCTACAATGTCAATGGCTGTGTACTTCACATGTATTCATTTTCTCAATCCTCACAATCCTTTGGGGCATGGAGAACAACTCTTTACAAAGGAACAGCCTTTTAAAAGTCACTGCTGCAACTGTGGTCTGAGAGCTGGAAGCGTCAGTGACATCCGGGCGCGTGCTGGAAAAGCAGACTCCTGAGCTCCAACCCAGACACTTAGTGGGTCCAGGGATGAGGCCTGAGACATGTGTTTTAACCAGTTCTCCAGGTGAGTCACACACCGAAACGGAAGACAAGCAACCCTGACTTAAAGGGTAACTTTCCAAGGCCAAATAGGGAGTAAGCCACGGAGTCACTGCACTCGAATTTGTGCTGAGTATCGGGAACTGTCCCATCCACTTCAGGTAATTTAACGAGGAGCCAGACGGGGGCTAATCAGGTTAACACCTGTAATTCAGGATTCCCCTGAGATCAGGACCGAGAACACTGAAACCTCAGTCTGTCCCTAGAGACTGTAATGGGAGAATCCTGTATTACTCCTTTGTTTCCTTCCTTTTTTTTTTTTTTTTGTATATGGAGGAACTCCTGGACGGCACCAGCCTCAGTGTTTTGAAGTCATAGTTAAAAGGGCTTTGACTCACATATCTAGGATATCTCCTTTATCGTCTTATAGCGAACATAAAAAAATTGAGAATTTTTTTTTTTGAGGCAGAGTTTCGCTCTTGTTGCCCAGGCTGGAGTGCAATGGCACAATCTTGGCTCACTGCAACCTCCACCTCCTGCATTCAAGCGAATCTCCTGCCTCGGCCTCCTGAATAGCTGGGATTACAGGCGTGTGCCCCACTATGCCTGGCTAATTTTTTGTATTTTTAGTAGACATGGGGTTTCTCCATGTTGCTCAGGCTGTCATTGTTTTGTTTTGTTTTGTTTTGTTTTGTTTTGTTTTGAGACAGAGTCTTGCTCTGCTACTCAGACTGGAGTGCAGTGGCAAGAGCATACCTCACTGTAGCCTCAACCTCTGGGCTCAAGCCATCCTCCCACCTCAGCCTCCCAAGTATCTGGAAACACAGGCACATGCCATCTTGTCCAGCTAATTTTTTTATTTTTATTTTTTGACACAGAGTCTCGCTCTGTCACCAGGTGCCAGGCCAGAGTACAGTGGCTCCATCTGGGCTCACTGCAACCTCCGCCTCCTGGGTTCAAGCAATTCTCCTGCCTCAGCCTCCCGAGTAGCTGGGACTACAGGCATGTGCCACCATGCCCGGCTAATTTTTGTAATTTTAGTAGAGACAGGGTTTCACCATGTTAGCCAGGCTGGTCTCGAACTCCTGACCTCAGGCAAGATGCTCCCCTTGGCCTCCTAAAGTGCTGGGATTACAGACGTGAGCCACCATGTCTGGGTTTACTTTTTTGATTTTTTGTAGAGGGAGGGTCTGACTATGTTACTCAGGCTGGTCTCAAACTCCTAGGCTCAGGCTATCCTCCCACTTCAGCCTCCCAAAATGCTAGGATGACAAGCATAAGCCACCATGTCCGGTCAATAAAACTGAGTGTTAACCAACACAGTATGTGTTGTGGCCAGCACTGGGCTGAGTGCACCATACCTCAGCTGTGCAATGGGACATTCTACTGTCACAGAGGCATTCTTTCTATACCTGTGCTACCCATTGTCGGAGCCACTAGACATGTCTGGACATTGAGCACTTGAAATGTGTAACTGAGAGACTAAATTTTTAATGTCATTTAAAATTTAATTTAGCTTGAAATGGTCCCATGTGGCCATTGTCTACCTCAAAGGATTGGATAGGTCCAGCTCTATATGTGGCTTTTATTATTATTATATTTTTTGAGACAGGATCCCTGTTGCTCAGGCTGGAGTGCAGTAGGGTGATCATGCCTCGATCTCCCGAGCTCAAGCGATCCTCCCACCTCAGCCTTCCAAGTAGCTAGGGGTAAAAACACTTGCCACCATGCCCAGCTGATTTTTCAGAGACATGTCTTTTCATGTTATCCAGGCTGGGCTTGAACTCCTATGCTCAAGCAATCCTCCCACCCCAGCCTCCTGGGTAGCTAGGGTTACAGATGCATGCCATCACATCTGGCTAATTTTTGTATTTTCTGCAGAGATGGATCTTGTTATGTTGCCCAAGCTGGTCTTGAACTCCTGGGCTCAAGCTATCCACCTGCCTCGACCTCCCACAGTGCTGGCATTACAAGCGTGAGCCACCATGCCCAGCCAAGATGCCTTTTCTTATTTAAACTTCAAACTAAGCCTATGAGGGCTGAAGCTAATGTTACGCCTATTTTACAGATGAGAAAACTGAGGCTTGCAGAGGCAAAATAAAAAACCCATAGGAGCCCATGCAGTCAGTTAGTGGTGGGGCTGGGGTCCTAAGCCAGGTCTGCTGTGACTCCAGGATTTGCAAGGTACAAAAGCTCCCAGCTGTCATTAGAGAGTCTCTGGGAAGCTGCTGCTCAGAGCTCACCTAAGCAAAGGAAGCAGCAGTGACAGCATGACTCCTCAAACAGTCGCCTCTGAGCGTCTCTTTTTCCAGGCAGCAAGAGTGCTGGTGTTCTCCTGGCAGCCATCAATGAGTAGATGTTTGGACATTATACGCATGTGATTAAATGTGCATTTTCCACTTAAAAATAAGGAGCTTCTGTCACAAATGATTTATATGGAAACAATACGTCTCCTGGCAAAAACAGGAATAAGAGCTGTTTACTGTTTCTTTCAAGACTTAAAAGAGGGAGGGGGGAAAAAACCCTGTGTCTGTGTTTTATTTGTTCTTTTTGGTTTGTTTTGACACGGAGTCTCACTCTGTTGCCCAGGCTGGAGTGCAGTGGCGTGATCTCGGCTCATTGCAACTTCTGCCTCCTGTGTTCAAGCGATTCTTCTGCCTCAGCCTCCCAAGTAGCTGGGATTACGGGCCCATACCACCACACCTGGCTAATTTTTGTATTTTTAGTAGAGATGGGGATTCACTGCGTTGGCCAGACTGGTCGCGAACTCCTGACCTTAGGTGATCCACCTGTGTTGGCCTCCGAAAGTGCCTGGATTACAGGCATCCGCCACTGCACCATTTCATCCATCTTTCTACCCCAACCCCATCGCCACCATGATAAGAAATGCGTTCTAAAATCTTGGCACCTGTAATCATTCTCTACCTTTCACACAGCAGGTTAGCAGGGGACACGATCCTCCCTGAATCCAACCCTTGGTCCAAGACGCCGGTGCCTCCACAGAGTAACTGCGCCAGCCTCGGCTTCACTAAATGGCATTTGTGAGATTCTAGAAACAGGCTTGGCAATTGCCTCCTTCCCTGCTCTCCTGTCTCTCCACTGGGGATGGGAGGCAGTGTGGATGTGGGAGGAAAAGGCTCTAGGGCCAGACTGAACTGATGCCACATGCTGGGCCATCTCTGAACAAGCTGTGTAGTGCCACCCTGCATAAGTGGCTTAACCTCTCTGAGCCTCAGTCATCTCCAGAGTATACTGGGAAGAACAGGGACTTTTCATGGCGCTGCTCTGAGAAGTCAGTGAGGGGATGCATGAAGAGCACTTAACCCCAGGCCACGCGCAAGAAGAGATCAGAAAAAACGTCAGCTTCTACTCGCTCCTTCCTTCCAGGCCTCAGTCAAAATCCTGACCCTCCTTTAGGCTTATCTCAGACCCAATCTTCCTCAACAAGACTTCCCTACCCCCAAGACACCATGTGTTTTCCTGTTTTCATATTTTATCAGTCTGTACCTATGCCTATTATAGCCTTTATACAATTATCACATCTTGGCATGGACTCAGCTTCCTGAGCACTGGATCTCTGCCTTGCCCAGCTCTTCCTTCCAGGTTGCAACCAACACATGGCCCTACACAAACAGATGCTCAAATATTCGTTGAACTGAATTTCTACAAAGATTGAGGCCAAACTAAAGAACATCCATTCATTCATTCATTCACTCAGTCATTCATACATTCATTCAATAAAGATGCATGTTTTTACACAGAGGGTCTCACTCTGTTGTCCAGGCTGAAGTGTAGCCACATGCTCATAGCTTACTGCAGCCTGACATTCTGGGCTCAAACGACCCTCCTTTCTCAGTCTCCTGAGTAGCTAGGATTATAGCTGTGAGCCACCAAGACTAGCCAATTCATTCACTCACTATTCATTAAGCATGCCCTCTACCAAGTGCCAAGCAAGAGGACTGGTACTCAGGACCCAGAAGAGACCAAGACAGACCTTGAGCCTTCTTTCACTTTCCAGTGTGGAGGGGGAGGGCAGTGAGACAAAAGAGAAAGTAGACAGATAAAATAGAGAAATACATGATGCCTGCTATTGAGAAAAGTAAAGCAGGATAGAGATTCAGGGACAGCAGAGTTTGGAAAGAAATCTGCTATTTTAAATAGTGGCTAAGGATGCCTTTCCTGAGAAGGAGATATTTGGGCAAAGATCCATAGGAGGAGAGGGGGCTACTTTTTAGAAATAAAATTAGGCCGGGCGCAGTGGCTCAAGCCTGTAATCCCAGCACTTTGGGAGGCCGAGGCAGGTGGATCACGAGGTCAAGAGATCGAGACCATCCCGGTCAACATGGTGAAACCCCATGTCTACTAAAAATACAAAAAATTAGCTGGGTGTGGTGGTGCGTGCCTGTAATCCCAGCTACTCAGGAGGCTGAGGCAGGAGAATTGCCGGAACCCAGGAGGCGGAGGTTGCAGTGAGCCGAGATTGCGCCATTGCACTCCAGCCTGGGTAACAAGAGCGAAACTCCGTCTCAAAAAAAAAAAAAGAAATAAAATTAATTTGGAGACAGGAAACTGGACACCTAAAAAATGTGTGGTTCTGTACTTAGATGGGAGCACAAAGGAAATAAAACCTGATGTCACTGACCACCCTCAGTTCCCGTTTCCTCTGTTTTAATGCCAGTGAATGTTTTCTGGACACATCCTATGTGCCAGGCACTGCCCAAACACTTTATATAACTGAGTTCACCACCAAGAGATAAGATATAGACCAGAGATGGAAAGAGTCACCACACGCAGGCCCCAGGCAGGCATCGTAAAAGGCGAAAAGTCAGGATTCTCAAAATGTAAACAACAGGGAGTGTCGAGGGTGGCACACCTATCCGTACTAGGGCAGACAGCTGCTAAAGAGTAACTGACCAGAGAACAGCCTCAGGATTTCTGACCTGTGTTCTTGAGAGAAGCTGGACATCGTAATTTTTTTGTGAAATTTCCTAACTTGAAAACATTGGCAAGCCATTACAAGTTTTCAAAAACAGGACGCAGGCCAAAATTTTATTTCCAAATGTTTTCAGGATGCATAGGATCTGAATAGTACGTTTTCAACCTCCAGCAGAGAGAGTAGGTTATGAGTACATAGAAGAACCCAAAACATTTGCAGGGATCCTGACCCTTATACCCTGAGGCTGGGTATAATTCATGTCTGAAAAAAGCCTGATTGCCTGGGACCTCTCATGCGTCTGCCCAGGAAACAGCAAGCTTTGGAGTCTAGTAAGCACTGTGCCCTTATATGTGGCTAGGATATAATGCTAATGGGAATTTCACTGCAAAAACAGCTCATGGTTCGTTACCAAAAAAAAGTACACTAGATATTAATAAAAACTGCTTTTGTTGACATTTTTAATTTGCTTATGTTCTACCAATAAAAACGCATTTGGCAAAATAGTCCAGAGGAAACACCGTTTTTATTCAAAACTGTTTTTCTTCCCCTTTCACTTGATATTTCTAAATTAACTTATCAATAATGTATTAAAGTAATACTCGAAGAATGGAACAATACTGCACCTTTAAGAAAATATTATTTTTCCTGAGGTCCTATCAAGGTAAATTTGATCAGTATTCAAAGAATGAGCAAAGCACTTCAACCATTTATTTCAATAAAAGAAGACTTAGCTGAAAGGAGTATAAATGATGAGAACTTGCTTTAAACTGATTTATTCCCTGCAGCAATAAAAGGAATGTTTCTTCACTCAGCTGTTTAATATGCAAATATGCAGAACATCCAGCCCCTGACAGCACATCATTAATAAAACCTTGCACTGAGCAGAGCGCCCGATATTTCATCCTGATGAAAATACATGATGATGATTTTAGACTGTGGACTTTTAGAGTTAGAACAATGTGCTTTCCTGGTGATGAAACCCACCAGTCACCGAAGGTGGGGGTGGGGAGTTTTTAGATAAGTGATCCAATTTCTGCAACAGGAAGTCCTAGAGTTAAAAAAAAAAAAAAATGGGAAATACAGAGGGCTGTTAAGAGCTTATGCTACCAAGGCCCAGTGACAACATCTAAATGGAGGGCAACGCAGGAACAAAAGGGGCAAAAGGCTGAGACGCTCGCTTCCTGCGGGATGGTAGCATGTTAATTTTCTGTGTTTTGTTTTGGACTCTGTAGAGAGCATGTCGCTCGATATGCTTGAGGGTAGCTTTATTTCCAAATGGAACAAGACAGTAAGCTATAGAGAAAACACAGGGCTCAGGAATTTGAACCCTTGGGGGCCCTCAGTCTGGTCGTCTGGTGATTGCCCCAGATTTGTTTATGGAGTAGTAACTTTGGGATTACGCTCAGATTCTTAAACAAGCAGTGGAGAAGAAGCTAAAAAACATTCTTTGTACTAGATGATCTGCTTTCCCTTTCCACTAAAATCTTGGATTGATATAAATAATACATGGTGGGACAGTGATGGTTTGACATTTCCCCCAGCCTTCTTTATGAATTCTTTTTGTTTTCTTTTTTTTTTTTTTTTTGAGACAGAGTCTTGCTCTGTTGCCCAGGCTGGAGTGCAGTGGCACAATCTCCGCTCACCGCAACCTCTGCCTCTGGGATTCAAACAGTTCTTCCACCTCAGCCTCCCAGACGCCTACCACCATGCCCGGCTAATTTTTGTATTATTTTTTTTTTAATAGAGACGGGGTTTCACTGTGTTAGGCAGGATCTCGATCTCCTGACGTGATCCACCCACCCGGCCTCCCAAAGTGCTGGGATTACAGGTGTGAGCCACTGTGCCCGGCTATAACTTCTTATAGTTTCCAAATTTTTTATAATGAGTATGCCAGAGATACGGTCAGAAAAGTCATGATTTTTTAAAAAAATTATTTTCTTCTAATAATTTTTATTTTTAGTAGAGACAAGTTCTTGCTATGTTGCCCAGGCTAGTCTCAAACTCCTGGACTCAAGTGATTCTTCTGCCTTGCCGTCCCAACGTGCTGGGGTTACAAACAGGAGCCACTGCACCTGGCCAGAAAAATCACATTTTTTAAATTTTGTTTTTTAAAACCATATAGATGGGCTAGTGCTCAGGGACATCCGAGGTTGTTAGCACTAGGGTAGGAGGCTTTCTCACTGCTTTGTAGAACCATCACATGAACCCCCGGTGCTGCTCTAAGAATAAATATCCGTGAGGGCCGGGCGCAGTGGCTCAAGCCTGTTATCCCAGCACTTTGGGAGGCCGAGGCGGGTGGATCACGAGGTCAAGAGATCGAGACCATCCTGGTCAACATGGTGAAACCCCGTCTCTACTAAAAATACAAAAAACTAGCTGGGCATGGTGGCGCGTGCCTGTAATCCCAGCTACTCAGGAGGCTGAGGCAGGAGAATTGCCTCAACCCAGGAGGCGGAGGTTGTGGTGAGCCGAGATCGCGCCATTGCACTCCAGCCTGGGTAACAAGAGCGAAACTCCATCTCAAAAAAAAAAAAAGAATAAATATCTGTGAAATGGTTAAATGAGTTACTAGTTGTAAGTGCTTACAACTGTGCCTGGAACATGGCAAGGCCCATAAAAGTATTTGTTAAATAAATAAACAATAAATTAGATTAAATAAAGTACTTTAGTCTGCAGAGATGAGTTTCTGTAAATATTATTTACTTATGTAGATGAAGGATATGAGAACTCTGGGTTATTTTAATCTTTATATTAACCTGACTACAGTTTATGGTTCTTGTCTAAATGATAGCTGTAGCTTAGAGAACTTCTGAATTAAAAGCCCAGCTTCTCCACTTGATTCCGTGTGATCTTGAGTGAGTCACTTGCCTCCAGAAACCGTATTGTCCTCATCTGTTAAATACATACGAAAATAATCGGACTTATTTTGATGAAGGTTTTGAGGATTCAGTGTGATCATCCCATCGTCTCTGTAAACATTCAGCACAGTGCCTTGCCCAGAGCAGAGGCTTACGCGTACCATTTCCACAACACTTACTATGTAATCAACATTGTACATATATAACGTTAACACAAATATTTAAGATAACTCTTCAAGGTAACCACGGTTAATTACGTTTCACTGCGGGAAAAATAAGGGCGGACGACTTGAACAAGCCCACGTACACACCTTGGTCTTGAACTTGAGTCTGTCACCAAGCCTACATTATATACAGGCTTTAGCCAGATCTGTCCTTTCTTTTAGAAAAAAGACACAGTGATTGTTTAAAAACACATGGGAAGAGTACCTGTCCTTCTATCACTTCTATTTTCAGTTGCGGTCATATTCAAAGACTCTCCTTCTGGTCTTGTTTCCTTTTGTTTGTTTAATAAGTATTTAAAAACAAGTGAGGTTAAAGGGCAGGAGGGAGGCAGGAGATAAAGGCACATGGCCAAGAGTGTGGGTCCTAATGCTTAGGAGAAAATAGTGAGAGTAAACGATGAAGTTCCCTGCAGCCACATTGTTGTGTCAAAAGTTCTTTTATTAGGAAAAGGCCACTCATATCTGCAATCCATGAGATCACCTACAATTTCAGATCACTTGAGAATAAGAAGTCAGTGAGCAGGTTCTTAAAATCTCTGATGGTGACTCTTCAGGAAAGATGAATTAGGCCAGGTGCAGTGGCTCACACCTGTAATCCCAGCACGTCTGGAAGCCAAGATGGGTGGATCACTTGAGGTCAGGAGTTGGAGAACAGCCTGGCCAATGTGGTGAAATCCTATCTCTACTAAAAATACAAAAATTAGCTGGGCATGGTGGCAGGTGCCCAAAGTCCCAGCTGCTTGGGAGGTTGAGGCAGGAGAATCACTTGAACTCAGGAGGCACAGGTTGCAGTGAGCCGAGATCACACCACGGCACTCCAGCCTGGGTGAAAGAGCAAAACTCCATCTCAAAGAAGAAAAACACAAGAACAAGATGAACTGGTCGGAAAGAGTTGAACGGGGAGTGCTTTGCCACATCTCTTACGCACCCCACACTCCTGCCTCTCTCTGTCACGTGTTCTCTTCACCCAACCAAAAGAATAAGTCTCCGAGCCAAAGGAAAGAGAGCTGTTGGATTTTATTTCCAAATATTTCAATTATAAATCAATCATTTAGCAAAATTCCACGAAGTTTGCAAAATTTCCCTTTGAATCAGTTCCCACCGAGAATCCAAAAAGTCTTGGGGGCAAAATTTCAAGCGGTCTCTTGCAGGTTTAGTAAACTTCTCCAAGCTAGTGCTTTCCATGTTTCTGATTTTATGTGCTCTGTAACACACCCTCATAACTCAAATGGGATGAACCAATTAAACATTTCCCTGTAGTCTCTAAAATAGCTGCTCTTGGCATGTTTTTTGCATGGCACAAACCTCTGCGGGAGGATACGATAGAAATCTTGCACTATTTAAATATAGAATTGGGACATCAAAGAAAGGGTTGTATTGAAATAACATGGATAATTAAGGAAGTGGAGAACAGTAATAACTGATTTACATAAAATGCTAATGAGTCTCTTGACTTGTTTGGCAATTTGCACTTTAGGCTTGGTAACGGTGGCTCCAAATTTATGATCTAATTTTTATTTTAATATTTTCTTTTAGCAAGTCGTAACCAACACTAATGGGTGCCTGCCAATGTCGAACTTCTCTCCCCTCCAACCATCCAGAAGCTTCTCTTTCCTATCAAGTATGCAGGGCGTGGGGATATAACTGGCCCGTGAGTTTCCCGGAAGCGCTGTTTCAGTGGTGTTTGCGTGTTATGGGTGCCGTGTCATTACCGATGATCAAGTGTTCCAAACGTTCACAGCTGGCTAAGCTAACCGGGCTGGAGAACAAATGTGGTGTTACAGAGGTGATGGGTGTCCTTGTACGGCCAGCTCTTCGCTTCTCAGAGAAAGAGACTGGGGCAGGGCATCCTCTCTCCAGGCTAGCGCTTATTTTGCACCATTCTCCGGTACCTTTCTTTTCCGAGAAGAAATTATAGGCTCTGAAAATTCCTGTTTTATTGAACTCTTCTACCGATCTCACCTCACAGGGCCACAGCCTCCCATGAATGAGAATGAGGACTTGAGCTGTTCCTTCAGGACATGTCTGCACGCTGACCTTCAGCGTACCCGATTTCCCTCTGAGTCCTCTAAGCATGATCCATTGCTTTCTCAGGCCATTCCCCCTTCACCCCATTGATGGGTTTCAAAGCTACTTAAATTTCCAAGTCCTGATGCGCGGCGGCGGTGGCCGGGGCTCTCTGCCTTGCCCTCTTATGGATTGCGCAAGGTCACTGCCGGGGAGAGGAAGGAGGCAGGCACGGCATTTATCAGGATGTATTGCTTTACTTTTTCTATCCATCACCAAGACGATGATTCTATTTTAGTGAAAATCCATTGAACTCCGATCAAGTCAGATGGCTGTTATCATTGGAAACTCAAGAGCTGTCAGGCCATAATCAGTACAAATGCTGGACCCTAAAATGGGGGGCTGTGGACCGGGGATGGTCCTCTGGGAATCCTTGTCGTCATTCTCGTTTTTAAAATTTAATCTGATCACTTTTATTTAAGTCTCTTTTCAGTTGCTCTCCTTGCAAAGGGTAAGGTCTGGTTCTGCAAGTTGGAATGAACCGATTACAGGCAATTTAGGCACAGTTTGGAGACACATGACTTCTCCTGCGGTGCTACACTGACTACCCTGGGCCTAATGACCTGGCTGCCCGTTAGAACACCAGTGCATGCCTGAATGATCACAGGAACCTGACCAGCCTTAGTCAAAATCACCCATCTATACATTATTCTGCGGTCTCCTCAATACATATATTTTTTCTGATCATTGCACTTAGCCATAGAATGCGACGTTAACAAGCCAGTCAGCCTTGAGAGCTGCATTTTCATGATAAATGCCCCCGCTTGTATTTGCATGTGTTTGGGAAAGTTTTATTCTATGGTTATCACCTTGAACATGGAAAAGGAAAATTCTCAAGCTCCCAGAAAATTTATTTTTGGTTTGTCTTCTGGTCATGGATTTAATTAAATCTGACATTTGAATAAAATCATTTAAAGGTATTTGCTGCCCTGCCGGTATTCTAAACTTTTACAAAAGTGGGGAGCTGTGAAATAGGCTAACAGAGTGCTTTTTAATCATTATCCTATAGCTCAAAGTCATACTTAACTCTTAACTACCCAAAAGCGGATGATGTTCCTGCTTTTCGGTAGTAGATTGCCAAGGATTGTATTTCTTCCATTACCCAGTTGAAGGCCAAATCCTAATGGATTGGGATAAGAAGGAATGAAGTCAGACACTCAAGAGCATAATGCCTGTGTGTCTACCTCACCAGTTTTTAAAATGTAAAGCGGTTTAATTTACATGCATTTTTCTACTTTGCAATCCATACCTTTCTTCCTTTTTATTAGCAAGGGAAATTGAATATTGATGGTGCTTTCTTAAATAAACTTACATTCTAAATAATAGCAACAATAATTAGGGTAACTATTAATTGGTCACCTACTCTGAATCAGGTATCCTGCCAAATGCTTTACATACACTCTCATTTAGGTCTTACAATCGCCTCCAAATGAGACAGGGAATCTCCTCTTTACAGACAAGGAAACCAGGGCTCTGAGAGCACCTGTAATTAACCGGGTTATCATACAAACTAGAAGGGGCAGGGACTAAATAAGCTAAACCATCAAAAGTATCTATTCTGGCTTCCTAGGGCCACAGGCAAGGTGACTTAAAATAACAGAAATTTATTTGTGTTTCATCTTCTAATTTTTGAGACACAGTCTTGCGCTGTCGCCCAGGCCGGAGTGCAGTGGCACAATCTCCGCTGACTCCGACCTCCACACCCTAGGCTCAAACAATCCCTTCATCTCAGCTTCCCAGGTAGGTGGGACTACAGGCATGCCCCAACACACCCAGCTAATTTTTGGTAGAGACAGGGTCTCATCGTGTTGCCCAGGCTGGTCTCCAACTCCTGGGCTGAAGTGATCAGACTGCCTCAGCCTCCGAAAGTGCTGGGATTATAGGCATGAGCCACTGCACCTGGCCCAACAGAAATGTATTCTTTCGTAGTTCAGGAAGCCAGAAGTTTGAAATCTGAGTGTCTGCAGAATGAGTCCCTTCTGGGAGTTCTGCAGGAGAAACCACTACAGGCTCTGTTCCAGCTTCTGGTGGTTGCCACAGCCTTGGCATTCCTTGGCTTGCAGATGGCGTCACTCCAACCTTTACTTCTGTCCTGACATCACCTTCCTCTCTCGGTGTCTCTGTTCTGTCTCTCCTGAGGACATTCTTATTGGATGTAGGGTCCGCCCTAAATGAGCAGGATCACATCCCCAACTCTATCTTTACGTTAGTCACAGCTATAAACATCTTATTTCCGGATGTGTGGAGTGGCTCACACCTGCAATCCCAGCACTCTGGGAGGTCAAGGCAGGAGGACAGCTTCAGCAGAACAATTTGAGACTAGCCTGGGCAAGATGGAAAGACCCTCTCTATTTATTAAATAAAAAATATATATATATTTTAATTGAAAAGGCCTTATTTCCAAATGAGGTCACATTCTGAGGTTCCAGGTAGACATGAATTTAGGGAAAACATTACTCATCCACTACAACAACCATGTGGAATCCAAACCTGGGGCTGGCTAGATTGAAGCATGTGTACCCAGCCTTTATCCCATAATCCACATTCAGAGGGCATAACTTCCAATCACACACCTCTGGTAAGTTTCTCAGAGATGAGGCCTAATAGTTCCCATAAGGTAACATACCAATGCTTTTCCTGCATATTTCCCGGATGAACCAGGGTCACTGGGGAGCCTGGAAAGGTGTTTCCTTCCAAAATCACAGGGAAGTTGGAAAAGACAGATGCACAGAAAAACAACCAAGGATATGACCCTGGGTAGAAGAGTGCTGGCATTCAACACAAGCTGCCTGACCTTCCTAAACCCCAGCTGTGGTTAGAGCTCGACCTGCTGGTGAAAGGAAACCAGAGAATGAGGGATGAACAAGAGCTCAGCTGGCCTCTACTGACGCAGAGAAGCCCTCACGTCAAAGAGGGAGCTTCCGGAAGCGGCCGGGAACAGGAATTTAAAATTCTTGGCCACCATTCATTCCCCCTTCCTGCCTCTGGAGGAAAAAGAAAAACAAGCCAATAACAGCTTTACATTATTGGTGCGGGAGGATGAGGGGAGAAAAGGCAACTGTTTTGAGAGGACTTGTTCTAATAATAAGATTTTGCTGATGAAAAAGCGGTACATGTGCAAGAAAGCAACACAACATGGAGAGAAACTATTTTTTTTTCTCCCTAAGTAAAATTTTATTAGAGATTATTCTGAACAAAGAAGTCTTATGAGTCACTGAAATAGTCAATATGGGTACCATGCAGGATACATGGATGCCAATTTCAAGGGAACACGTATTGAAGGGAAGAAAGGCAATTATCCAATAAATTGTATCTAGTTTTTTTTTAGCTCAAACAAAAATTCTAATGCGTTTGGAATAGAAACAAGTGACATATTTGTGATGGATATCTGAAACTGGCTCATTTAGTTTCTGTTCACCTTCCTGCTAGGTCAGGGCTTCTCGACCTGGGCACTTGGACGTTTGGGGCTGGGAAACTGGTTGTGGTAGGGACTGTGCCATGGACTTCAGGGTGTTGGGCAGCATCCCTGGCCTTGACCCACTAGATGAGAGTAGCATCTCTTCCTCCCTCCAGTTGTGACAACTAAAAAATGTCCCAGCCATTGTAAAACACCCCCCTCCCCCACTCCCTGGGGAGCAATGTGGCCCCTGGATCCTGCTATGCTAGTTGAAAAAGTTGGAGCTAAAACTCCCTTTCCAGACTCCATTGCAAGTTTGGTTATGGACACAAATCCATCCCATCAATTGCTGGGTGCTGCCGTGGGATACTTGGGATAGCAGATGTGTGGAAAGGGCCACATCCAGCTTCTTTGGGGCTTCTCCTCTTAGCAAAGGAGTGTGCGAAGCAAGTTTTCTGTCTTCTTCTTTCTTCTGTTCTGGCATCACTTCTCCAGCTTCCTGGTGGTGGAGATGGGGACACAGCAACACAGGTAGCTTTGGCTTACCCATCTGCTGAGCTTCAATTGTAGCTTCAGTGGAAGGACCTTCCTGGAGGGTCACTTTTGTATTATTCAGGGAGCTTCTTTGAAGGTCAACCTCAAAACTACTCTTTTAGCTTTTGCAACAATTTTGTATCTGTCAAATTGCCTTTATTAAATCTCTCCCTTTTCAAAACATAAAGAGGTTTGCATATCCTACATGGAGTCCCCATGAAGACAAGCTGCCAGGGAATTACCAAGTGAACACCATGTGTCTCATCAGGAAGACGCAGACATGCTCTGAAGATGCCCATGTCTCAGCTGCTCTACCTGCTCCTCCCTCTGTTCAGAACGGACTTTTTCCCCACCACTCAACTTACAGGGTGGTCCAACTACAAACACCCATTGAGACTCCAAAGCCCATCTGATGCTCGCTTTTCTGTCATAAAGATTCCTCCTCCATACTTCCTTATCCTCATCCCTTACTGTCACTCCTTCACCTGCTCCCAGCAGATAACTTCTCCTGTCTCGTAACTTTGTCACTCCCCTTGACAAACTAAATGTTCTAATTGTTTGTTCCTGCTTGTTCTTACTAAACTGAAAGATCCTAATTCATTCCTGTGTCCCCAGTGCTTAGCTCAGAGTAAGAATATAATGTATGACGAAGGGAGAGGCAAAGGAATGAACGGAATCTTGTAATGTCATTCCTGGTTGCCGCAGGACATTTATCTCGTGGTTCTCGCCCTCTAAGCAATTAGGGAATTCCCAAGAGGAGTCAAGATGAACAGGAGAAAAGACAGACACGGGGGATTGAGAATTAGGTTGCATGGTTTTTGTTTGTTTGTTTTTTGTTTTGAGACAAAGTCTGGCTCTATCCCGGGTTGGAGTGCAATGGCGCGATCTCGGCTCTCACGGCAACCTCTGCCTCGCAGGTTCCAGCAATTCTCCTGCCTCAGCCTCCCGAGTACCTGGGGTTACAGGCATGCACCACCAAGCCTGGCCAATTTTTTTGTATTTTTAGTAGAGATGGTGTTTCATTCTGTTGCCCAGGCTGGTCTCGAATTCCTCACCTCAAGTGATCCACCCTCCTAGGCCTCCCAGAATGCTGGGTTTACAGGCATGAACCACTGTGCCCAACCAAGTTGTATGGTTTCGATGGCTAGCGTATTTAAGAAGAGTGTTGGCTGAGAGCAGCGTAGAGTGCGATGTGACAGAGGCAAAGGGCATATCTTAGAGACCTGTGAAGAACACACACGGAAGTGTAGGATGGAAATTATACACTGCTCAGTGACAAACAATGCCTTATAGCACAGGCAAACAGATGCAAGCCAGTGAGAGAGAAAGACAGACACAAAGGCGAGAGTTCTCAAATGACTTCATCTGAACAATGAACACAGTAATGGGTGTTGTCATCGGTATTTTCTTCATTATCATTTTTAATTTTCTAAAAAAGTAGGATGCAAAAAAAGTATGTGTATGTTGAGATAATCTACTAAATAAAAATGTTAGCATTTCTGAGCTCAAAAATCATGTTAAAAGAGACTTAGCACTGTGCTACTAGAAAGATAGTCTACTATAAGGGGCAGAACCCAAAATTTAAATGGCAAAGAGCTGCAGACATGTTCACCCACAGAGTCTCATGGAAGCTGCTAGCAAACACATCAAGTGGTGTGTAAAGGAGGAAGAGAGGGAAAAGCATTATTTTAGACCTGACTAACTTTAAAAAACAAGTATACAAAGATCCGATATTCAAAACTCCTCTGATCCTTATGTAAGAGACTTTTAATTCAGCCAGCATTTGGGTTTTAGGGTTAGGGATAACAAGAAGACAACTGAACTTCCCCCAAACCCCTTTAAAGTCCTTTTGTGACAGAACTGTCACCCCCTGGATAACAACACTGTCTCGGGAGAAGCTGCCTTCTGACTTACATCTGAATTTAATACGAAGCCTCCTTAGGAAGCCTTCTTAGAAGGCTGCATGCCATGAGAATTCAATGCAAACTTTTATCTTTCCTTTCTAGATCTCCTCCTTTCAATCACTAATCTCTCCAGGAAAGAACACAACCAAACAGTTCCATTAGGTAAGAGGCAGATGGAACTGATGTAAATCCCCCCTGAATTAATGGACCTGCTCTTTGCTGCACGATGGCCCTTCCCAAGATGACCTTGCCAATCAGCGGATCTTGTCTTGTCTGCATTTTCCAGCGACTCCAGGCCCACATGCAGCTGAAGGAATCTGCTTTATTTCTCAAGTCAGTACCCCAATCAAATGGTCCTAGAGGCTGAATACAATTTGCTGACCTAGGCAGATCTTTAAAATGGTTTTTTAAAGGCAAATTACAATATTCAAGTTTGTAAAAACAGGCTGTAAGTATGTGACGGCGTGACGCACTGTGTGGGACTCGGGTTGCTGTGATGTATAAAGCTGAATTCCCTCTAGGTAGGGTGATGGAAGTAAGGAGTTAGGTTATGACACAGTTACAGGTAACCCCAAATCTCAGGGTCTTTCTGCTTGCTTGTTTTTTTTAAAGAGACAAGATCTTGCTCTGTCATCCAGGCTCGAGGGCAGTGGTGAGATTACAACTTACTATACAGCCTTGACCTCCTAGTTTCAAGCAATCCTGCCTTAGTCTCCTGAGTAGCTGGGACTACAACAGCACACCACCACACTCAGCTAATCTTTTACATTTTTTGTCAAGACGGGGTCTCACTATGTTGACCAGGATGTTCTCAAACTCCTGGCTTCAAGCAATCTTCCAGCCTCGGCCTCCCAAAGCGTTGGGATTACAGGTGTGAGCCACTGTGCCTGGCCCTCAAATCTCACTGTCTTGGCCAGGCGCAGTGACTCACATCTGTAATCCCAGCCCCTTGGGAGGCCAAGGCAGGTGGATCACTTGAGGTCAGGAGTTCACGACCAGCCTGGCCAACATGGCGAAACTCCATCTTTACTCCATGGCAGAGCATGCCTCTAATTTCAGTTGCTTGGGAGGATGAGGTGGGAGAATCACTTGAACCTGGGAGGCAGAGGTTGCAGTGAGCCGAGACGGTGCCGCTGCACTCCAGCCTGGGTGACAGAGCAAATATCTTAAAGCCACAGTATCTTACAGCCACATCAGCGAAGCACAATTCATTTTTCCATGTCTGTCTTGGGTCAGCTCGGGATTCTTGTTTTTGTCTTACCTCTAGGACCCACCCTGAGAGGGCAATGAGAATCTGTAGAGGCAAAGCAGATTGTGATGAGGCGGACTGGAGGCTCTTTAAGTTTCCGCCTCAAAGAGAAACACGTCACTTCCGCCCAGATTCCACTGGCCACAGCAAGTCACGTGTCAGGAAAGTACAGCCTTCCCATGTGCCCAGATGGAGAGGGAAAACTCAGTAGTTATGAGTTACATTCAATAACTCAATCAATAATAATAATGCAGTTAATAGTTGCATTCAGACTTACAGCTGTGAATATCGCTACTGACTCCACGATGGGTACAGCAATGCCATGCCTAAATGAAACTCTCTTTCTAGGCTCCCTTAGGATGTGCGTAACAGGACGTGGCAGTGCCGGATTTCAGCCCGTGACTCCAGAAACCCGCCTGCCAACTTGGAAATCTGTTGCCCATCATCAGAGCTCACTACTCCAGGAACCCGGACCACCACAGAAAATTCCACAAAGCCCCGGCCTCTGCTATCTTTTGTCCCCATCACGTTTAGCTAATAGATGATCCTACCAATTCCCACTGGCAGCCCTTTGTAGTGTAATGAACAGGATGCAGGCTGATGAATGCAGCCGCTGCACAGAAAACGTCAGTTCTTTCATTAAGCAAACCTTCCCAAGTTCATTGTATTGAACCAGGGTTTAGGCTATTAGGCTGACACATGACAGAGCCAATTCTAGTCACATTGTAAGTGCCTATTCATGTTTGGCAAATTCCGTTTTACGCACATGCACACATTTAGAATTAGATTCTTGTTGCCTGCAAATTTTTTCCCCTTGAAATCTATTTTCCTATTTTTAACTGTTAATAATTAAGAAAAACCCCACTTTAATAATTGCGCCTCAAGGAGCCTGATACAGGAAGAACATAACGGATCACCACACTGAGTTTCTATTCTGCTGGCCGTTCAGCGTGCTTGGTCTTCCTAGACACACTGATATGGATACACTGGGCTCATCTATAAAAGGGAAAAAAATCGTAAAACATTGGCACACTGAATTTTGACACTGCTGGCTCTTCACTCTGTTCACATTTTAAGAGGGAAACATTATTTACAATCTTGGAATCCCTGCTAGTGAGAGGGGACAGGACAAAGGGCATCCTTCCAGGGTACAGGCTGGGAATGAGTCAGCCTGATCAAGGAAGAAGTTCAAAATATCCACAGCAGCCAAGAGCTGTGGCCACGTTTTCTCCAGCCTGCCACTTCCTACGTGGGCGTTCATTCCATGGCACTCATGCAGCACACACACAGTGGGTGCCTCCTGGGTGGTGAGCCCACACTGGGAGTCAGTGTGTACATGAAGAGTTAGCGTCTTGTGGTCCAGTGGGGGAGAAAGAGGAAAACTGACAATTACATTCAAATGCGCTTAGTGGGGTCATGTTTCCTGAATCTACCCTGGTTTATCTATCTCCATTATTACACCTGGTCACCATCATTGTTCTCTTAGATTCCTGGGTCACCTCCCAACATGGCCTTCAGCTTTCACTCCTACCTGCTACTGACTGCCCTTCTCATGGCAACCCTGGCATCTTTGAAGAGTGTGATTCAAATTATGTCACCTGTTTGCTTACCAACTCTGAGGAGTGATCACCAGAACTCAGGTAAAACTCAGACTTCACAGTGGCTGCATGTGTGTGGCTGCCCCCCGCCTTTATGGGATCACCTGTCATCCCCTCTTTCTCCAAACATACTGGCCACTTTCTCTCCCTTGAACACATCAATTGTGTCTCCACCCCAGGGCCTTTGCACTTACTGAAACTGTGCTTGGGATTTTCTTTGCTGAGATCTTTGCAAAGCTCTCTTCATTCAGGGTGTAGTTCAAATGTCACCTCCTCAAAAGTCATCTCTGATCACATAAACAATTGCTATTTTCTTCCACTACTTTATTTTAACTTAAATGATGTAAGACATGTCAAGACACTCCTCATAGTCATAGATGTCACTGCCAAGACATGCCATAAAAGGATATTGGAATCAGGCCACGCGTGGTGGGTCATGCGTATAATCCCAGCACTTTGGGAGGCCAAGGTGGGTGGATCACAAGGTGAGGAGCTCAAGACCAGCCTGGGCAATATGGTGAAACCCCGTCTCCACTAAAAATACAAATATTAGCCGGGCGTGGTGGGGAGCACCTGTAATTCCAGCTACTCAGGAGGCTAAAGTAGGAGAATCACTAGAACCTGGGAGGCAGAGGTTGCAGAGAGCTGAGACCATGGCATTGCAGTCAAGCATGGGTGACAGAGCAAGACTCTGTCTCATTTAATTAAAAAAATGATGTTGGAATGAAAATGTAAGTCTGCCCTAAAACTTTAAATGGATGTTCAAAGCAGCATTATTCATAGTAGAAAGAAATTACAAGCAACCTTTGGAAATGTTTATAAAGCTTTATCCATAATAGCCAGAAATAACCACATGTTCCTATAGCAGCATTATTCATAATAGCCAGAAAGCAGAAATGACATTAACTATGAACAGATAAACAGAATGTAATGCATTGATAAAATAGAATATTAATGGGCCACACAAGGCGATGAAGTAATAAACTGGTTCAAAGGTAATTACGCCGACCTAATACTAACACCACGTCCCTTATAAACATTACAGGAAACAAGTCAGTTGGCCACATACTGTATGATTCAATTTATATGGATATCCAAAATAGGCAAATTCATAGAAAGTCAATGAGTAGTTGTCAGGGATGGAGGGTATGGAATGGGAAATGTCCGCTAAGGGGTACAGGGTTTCTTTCGGGGGTGATCAAAATGTTCTGAAATTAGATAGTGGTGATGCTTGCACAACTCTGTCACTATACAATACGCCAATGAAATGTCCACTTTAAAAGGGAGAATAATAATCTCAGTCAAAAACCCAAAGTCATAGATGTGACTTCCAAGATTACGTTCAAAAACACCCTGGCTCCGTCTTCCCCACCAATTCTTGCACTCTCACTTTCTCATCGGGACACAAGCCAGCTGCCATGTCACAAGCTGCCTTTGGGGGGGGCCCATGTGGCAACAGTCAAAACCAATGGTCAAGAAGCCGAGTCCCAGAGTCCAGGAACCACCAAAAAACTGAATCTTGGCAATAACTACGCAACTTGGGAGTGGATCCTTCCCGGGTCCAGCCCCAGCCAATGACTGCCTCTTACCTACAGCCTGCAAGAGACGCTCCATCAGGCTCAGTTCTTCACCCAAAGAAAGCGAGATGGTAAACGTATATTGTTTTAAGTTTTTAAAAAACAGAATAAAAATCAAGCCCAGGACGGCCTGGTGCTCCTTCTGTTTTCCCACATTGCCTTATTCATCCTGCATTCTTGGAACGGGTCCCAAGAGCCTGCAAGTGGGGTCAGGATGAGCACCTGCATGGTAGGTGCTCCGTAAAGTTTTCTAGAACTCAGTAAAAATTTCTAATCCTCTTGTCTCCACATACAGCTAGAAAATTCTCTCAATGAGAAACAGAACAAATGAAAGAGAAAGAAATATACAAGTCTCATTATGCTCTCTTATTTCCCAATCCCTTATATTTATGTTAAATTCTGACCAAGACTCTCAGGGAATCCTGCTGACCTTGCCTTGCCCCTGACTGCAATATTCTTCTATGTACAGACAGGAGGTAGTTCTAACATCTGGCCTAGGTTGTACCAACCTCACTTATTCACTAGGCAATTCGTCCTCAGCGTAGCACCCCACTATGCCTCCCTGTGAAGCACTCAATCGTAACTTACTGCAAACCCCAAAGTCAGGCATTCACTGCTACCATACTACTACTACTATTATTATTATTATTGTTGTTTTGAGACAGACTCTTGCTCTGTCACTCAGGCTGGAGTGCAGAGACAAATCTAGGCTCACTGCAACCTCCACCTCCCGGGCTCAAACGATTCTCCCACCTCGGCTTCCTGAGTAGCTCAGACCACAGATGTGCATTACCACACCCAGATGATTTTTTCTATTTTTTGTAGAGATGAAGTTTTGTCTCAAGCTGGTTGCCCAGGCTGGTCTCAGACTCCTGGTATCCAATAGTCTCATTTGCATGCATTTTGTTTATTTTTATTTTTTCTGAGATGGAGTCTCACTCTGTTGCCCAGGCTGGAGTGCAATGGCGTGATCTCACCTCACTGCAACCTCTGCCTCTGGGCTGGGATTACAGGCACGTGCCACCATGCCTGGCTAATTTTTGTATTTTTACTAGGGACAGGGTTTCACAATGTTAGTCAGTCTTTTCTCGAACTCCTGACCTCATCAGGACCTCGAGATACACCCACCTCGGACTCCCAGAGTGCTGGGATTACAGGCATGAGCCATTGTACCCGGCCTATTAACTACTATTACTACAAGATGGCATCAGTCCAGAAACAATTTGCACCGCCCTTCCTTGAAGCTTTTCCCCCAAACATCCCATGCACAGAGCCCCCACCTCCTTGGCAACATGTCTCTTCCAAGACAGATTTATTACAGGGCTGTCAACACAATCCTACCTTTGTGGAAAAAGATAAAAATAAGAAACACCTTACAAGAAGATGCTGTGGTGAAAGCTAAATCATAAATGTTTGATAAGGAACGATCAAATCCAGACAAATAATTGTTCAATCCCACTTCGTATTAAGCAGATAGAGTCATACAGAAAATCAATGTGATGTATTGAAGGGGGGAGAAAACCGCCCAGCTTGGGACTGGACTACACAGTGTTATGAAGTGGGAGTTTCAGAAGAACCCTGCAGTACAATGACAACATCAGTTTCAAAGAGTGGCATGCTGATTGCTGAGCTGTGGGACCTGCCAATGGCATTTCGGTCCTCTCTGTCGTGGCTGCTGGAGATAATTTCCAGGGTGACACGGGCATTCTCGTGGGTGAATGGTAGAGAGGAAACTGGTTTAACCATTCTAGAGGATGATTTGGTAATTCTGGTAAAAATAATTGTTCCAAAGATGTACCTAGGGCCTTTGTTCCACCACTTCTGCTGCTGGGGACCCTCCCTTCCGATATCCTTGCTCAAGCAGACCAAATACACGTAAAGGAACATTCTTTACTACGTCATGTGTAATAGTAAGACATGGGGCCCAGCTTGGTGGCTCATGTCTGTAATCCCAGCACTTTGGGCTGCCAGGGAGGGCGGATCGCCTGAGGTCAGGAGTTTGAGATCAGCCTGGCCAACATGGAGAAACCCCTTCTCTGCTAAAAACACAAAAATTAGCTCGGTGGGGTGATAGGCCCCTGTAACTGCAGTTACTCGGGAGGCTGAAGCTGGAGAATTGCTTGAACCTGGGAGGCAGGGGTTGCAGTAAGCTGAAATCAAGCCACTGCAGACCAGCCTGGGTGACAAGAGTGAAACTCCATCAAAAGAAAAAAAAAAAGGTAAGACATGGACCTACCTTGCATGTCTATAAATAGTAATGAATAAATTAATTAAATGACACCCATGTGATACCATATTATCTGTCATGGAGTATTATGAGGTTGAGCTACATATGCTGGTACCAAATAATCTCTAAGACACTATTAAATGGAAAGAGCAGGTAATGAACAAAATGTATCCAATAGTCTCAGTTGCATTTTTTTTTTTCTGAAACAGAGTCTTGCTCTGTTGCCCAGGCTGGAGTGTAGTAGCGCAATCTCGGCTCACTGCAACCTCTGCCTCTGGGGTTCAAGCGATTCTCCAGCCTCAGTCTCCTGAGTAGCTGGAATTACAGGCTCATGCCACCACGCCTGGCTAATTTTTATATTTTTACTAGGGATGGGGTTTCACAATGTTGGTCAGTCAGGTCTTGAACTCCTGAACTCATGATCCATATTAATGATGGCTTCTTTTGGAGAGTTTTGAGAATGAGGGAAATTTTACTGCATTACTGAAAGGTCTGAAACTTTTCTCCTGAGCTTCTTTTCCTTTGATGGATGATTTTCCCCAAGGGAGTAGCAGAAACAACACAAAGAAACAGTAAAACCTTCTGCAGGACCAGGAAGCCCCGGCTTGTTTTGTGAATTCTCTGAAAAAAAGACAGAAGGAGCTTTGACTGTTAGTCATTCTATGCCCACCCCAGCTCCTCTCCCACTGGAAACTGAAAAATGAAAGCTGTGTTAAGTGGTCTCTTCCACCTCTCAGGAAGAATAGCGTTGTCTCCAATTTCCTTCTGTTTCCCCAAGCCCACACCATACCTCCTCAAATAAACTGAACCATTTTCTGCCTGGGAAGGGGGACCTTCCGTGTGCGGAAGTGCATTTCAGTGATGGGCTCACAGTGGCCAGTCCACATCTACCACTTATTCTTTAAGGTAATAATAACCTCCCTCCTGCTGATGATAATATTTTACATAACCTGTAATTAAAAACAAAAAAAGCAGCGCAGCCCACAATAGTAAACAGATGGGGAAGGCCCTCTGAAATAGAGGACACTGAAAGCTTCCTAAAAAGAGCACACACTTGCAAAGAGAAGACAAACAACTCTGGTGTCACTATGGTGAATGATGTGTTTGCTTTGAGGTGAAATAATAGGAAATGAGGATCAATTAACAATGTACTGATGAGCCTACAATTACTGGGCTTTTTGTTGCATACACTAACAGCATGTTAAATTTCTGATGGTGAAAACCCTTGGGATGAGAAGGCTGCTGAGAGCCGAGCCTGAGGACCAGGGATTTGCTCTTCTGAAATAAACCTGTAAGAAGAGTCATGCTGTGTGTCTAAACACTAGTGACTTGTAAAAAAGAAAATGCTTTTCTCCATTTATCTTTGACATGACACTTTCTATCTCATAGGGGCAAATATATGAACACTGTCACTTTTCAAAGCCTTTTGGGCACTGACAAATGAGAAGGAAAAGGCTCCTTTAGAAAATTGAACAGGACTCTCCTGATCCACCCCGATGGAGGCAGAGATGAGAACAGTGTTTTGGAAAGCAAGCGCACTTCGGAAACATCTGATAATTGATCTGAATGATGTCTTGAAAGGTTTTTTTCTCTTTCTTATCTTGCATTTTTGATCAGAAGTTCTCAAACTTTAGGCGCCAGAATTCCCTGGAGGGCTGAAACTAGATTGCTGAGCCCGACTCTGAGATTCTGGCTCAGGAAGTCTGGGGTAGGGGCCTGAGACTGTGCATGTCTAACAAGTTCCCAGGTGACACTGATGTGGCTGATTAGGGACAAGCCTTTGAGAACCACAGGCACAATGGTTAGGAGCTCAGGCTGTGGAAGCAAAAACACTTGGATGAATTCCTGGTTCTGCTGCACGGTTATCTCTGAGAGTCAGGTAGTCATTGAATTTATCTGTGCCTCAGTTTCCTCATCTGTAAAATGAGGATAAGAGTAAAACCTGCTTGTACTGGGTTAAACAGCATTCCCCTCAAAATTTATGTCTACGCCAGCATGTGATCTTCTTTGGAAATGGATTTTTTTTTCAACTTTAAAAAAAGTATTATAGTTTAACTGGTGGGGTACATGTGCAGAACATGCAGGCTTGTTGCATAGGTATAATGTGCCATGGTGGCTTGCCGCATCCATCACCCTGTCATCTACATTAGGTATTTCACCTGATGCTCTCTCTCCCCTAGACCCCAACCCCCCCACCCCAACAGGCCCCACTGTGTGATGTTCCTCTCCCTGTGTCCATGTGTTCTCATTGTTCAACACCCACTTATGCATGAGAACATGCAATGTTTGGTTTTCTGTTCTTGTGTCAGTTTGCTGAGAATAATGGTTTCCAGTTTTATCTCTGTCCCAGCAAAGGACAGGAACTCATCCTTTTTTATGGCTGCACAGTATTCCATGGTGGATATGTGCCACATTTTATTTCTCCAGTCTATCATTGATGGGCATTTGGGCTGGTTCCAATGGAAATTAAATCTTAACAGATGCAATTTGTTAAGGTAAAATGGGTTTGTCCTGGATTACAATGAGCCCTAAAAATCAATGACTAGAGTCCTTACAGGAAAAGGGAGCAAAGACCCAGACTGAAGACGGCCATGTGAAGACAGAGGCAGAGAATGGGGTTCTGCTGCCACAAGCCAAGAAATGTCAAGGATTAATGGCAGCCACCAGACGCTGGGGGAGAGGCATGGAGCAGGCTTTCACTCAGAGCCCCAGGAGGAACCAACTCTGCCAATACTTTGATGTCAGGTGTCTGGCCTCCGAATCCGTGAGAGAATCAATCTCTGTTGTTTTAATTTGTCTGGTCTGCAGCACATTCTTAAGGCAGCCCTGAGAAACTTACAGTGCATTACAGAATTCTTGTGAGGATTAAATTAGTGACTACATGGAAAGTGTTTGGAGTCAGGCATGGCACGTAACGACCGTTACTTAAGTCGTAGTTTATATTGTTACTCTGGGTCTTATTAATACTCTCTTCTTTCATTTACTTTGCTATTAAAAATATTTTCTCATGGAAGAACCATAACTATTAGAGAAAAGGATTAAGCAGGGGTTCTCAGCCAGGGGTAATTTTGTCCCCCAGGGATATATAGCAATATCTGCAGAAGATGTTTTTGGTATTACAAGACTTAAGGAAGGAGAAGATGCTACTGGCCTCTAGTGGGTAGAGACCAGTGATGCTGCTCTATGGCCTGCAATGCACGGGAAATCCCCCGCAGTGAAGAATCTCCTGGTGTCAAATGTCAGTGTGGCCAAGGGTGAGAAACTTCTGGATAAAGTGAAAAATCAAAGTCACGTGGCCTCTGAGTCCATTTCCCAAGGTGCGAACAAAGGTAATTTTTTTTTTTTAGTTTCACTCTTGTTGCCCAGGCTGGAGTGGAACGGCGCAATCTCGGCTCACCACAACCTCCGCCTCCTAAATTCAAGCGATTCTCCTGCCTCAGTCTCCCGAGTAGCTGGGATTACAGACATGTTCCATCACACCTGGCTAATTTTGTATTTTTAGTAGATAAGGGGTTTCTCCATGTTGGTAAGGCTGGTCTCGAACTCCTGACCTCAGGTGATCCACCTGCCTTGGCCTCCCAAAGGGCTGGAATGACAGGTGTGAGCCACCGCACCCAGCCCTAAAGTAATTTTTCAAGTATTACGCTATATTTTCTAATGAGCTCTGCACACTACCTGAGCCCTCACACACACACACACACACACACACACACACAAACATATTAATAAAAAAGGACAACAACAATAAAAATCTAGAGTCAAGTTTGGCCAAAGAAATTCAGGATGGGCCTAAAATCTGCCATCAGATCCTGACTGTAAGAGATAAAGGTCCAGTGGTCTGGGGGCCTCTTGTTTCAGCCCTGACTGGGGTCACACCTTTAACTTAAAGGCAGAGGAGGGCCTAGACTCTGGGTCTGGTGACTCTTCTGTCTTCTCCGTTCAGTGACCCTAGCATGTATCATGGGCACAGGGAACCACCTGGACTCTGTTATCGACAAGCTTGTCCAATATTGTTCTTGACATGTTGAGGGGCCCTGGGCCCTGGTGTCAGAAAGCAAAGGCTCCTTTAGAGGCTGGGGAAAAACTGTGAGGAAGAAGGTAAGTATCCTCCCTCCTCCCCATTTTCTTCCTATCTGTGGGCTGAGGGCAGTCGGAAGGGTGAAAACCAGAGACAAATGACTCCACTGTCAGGTAACCATGGCCACAAGAACAAAAGGGATGACGGTGGAATGGTGACAATGGACAGACTCAAAGGCAGTAAAAATGACAAACCTCAGTGATCAGCAGGACACGTGGGGTGGCAGTGAGGGGGATGCAGGGGCCAGCCAAAGTGGCAGCCTGATATTTGAACTGTGCAATTGACTGAATGATGGCACCACTCAATTAGCGAGAAAGCCCCACAAGAGGGCTGCATTATTTTCAGAAATAATTGAGTACATGAAGCAAAATCCTCATCCACTATGTGCCCAAAGACCCTAACACTCCAGAGTCCGAGCATGGACCAGGCGCCATGATGGGCAGAACAGCTGTGAACCTGTAGCCTCCCCTAAATGTCTTCCTGTTTCCCATAAAACATCACATCTAGAACTCATCAGTCTTTTGTGTCAGAACAATCTGCCTAGGGATTGTAGCTCCTGGGTTTGGAAGGAACCCCTTGTAAGGAAAGCCAGGAAGATATCCCAGGATGTGCTCTGTGGGCCCTGATGTGGTTTGGATTTGTGTCCCTGCCAAAATTCCATGTCAAACTGCAATCCCCAATGTTAGAAAAAGGGCCTGGCACGAGGTGGCTGGATCATGGGGGTGACTTCCCCCTTGTTGTTCTCATGACAGTGAGTTCTCATGAGGTCGGGCTGTTTAAAAGTGTGTAGCACTTGCCCCTTCGCTCTCTTCCTCCTACTCCAGCCATGGAGGACATGCCTGCTTCTCTTGATCTTCTGCCATGATTGTAACTTTCCTGAGGCCTCCCTAGCTGTGTTTCCGGCACAGCCTGCAGAACTGTGAGCCAATTACACCTCTTTATAAATTAGCCGGTTGCAGGTAGTTCTTTACAGCAATGCGAGAATGGACTAACACAAGCACCAAGGGCGGACAGAGAAAGGACATGCATGTTAGAGTGGGTGACCCCAAAAAGGCCTGATCAGATAGATCTGATCTGCCACTGAAGGATGATGGGGAAACTGAGGCACAGAGAGGTAATCCTGCCTTACACACACACACACGTGTGCACTATGAGTAACGACAGAGTGTAACTTTCATCCTCAGGCTGACATAATAATTTTGATCCTTTCCCACCTCCCATACGGTACTGAGGCAAATCAGAAAGGAGGAAGAATAAACCACACCCGCATTTCCAAACAGACCTTCGGCATTCAACCTAGATCTGACTCAATGTTTTCTTCTTCTCTCCTGGCGAAATCAAGGCTTTCCCCAGAGCTGTGCGTTTTGGCTTTCAAGATGCACAAAGATAACCACACTCGAACACAGAGCTGGGACCCTGAGAAAGGGAACACACGCAGTCCAAAGGGTCTGTGAAAATCAAGCCCACATCACCTAAATATAGACTAACTTCTAAATAAAGCTTCAAATCACAGATTTGTTTACTTTCATTTGGTGATAATTGTTCACAGCAGAACATATCAGAAAATTCTATAACGGGAACCACAGCCAGGAAATAGTAAATAATTAATCACCTTCCCTCCCAGCCTCTTGCATCTCTGTTGATATAAATGACCGTATAATTCCAAACCCAATTATCACTACTTAGCCGTTCCATTTTGTAGTTAAAACCCCACAAAATTAAAGTGCATCAATTGTTAATGGTAATAGACCAAACAAGGGATTAAAGATTATTTTAATGTTTATTTCCTGTCAAGAGATCTTTTGGCAGGAAACACAGCAGACAAAAGGCTGCACACTCAGACGACATTCATATATTTAAATCTTCTAACTTCTAAAAACATTATGGATATAATTACTTGTTTAATTTACTTGTTCCCTCAAGATACAAGCTGAGGAGGATTAAGCCAACGTTATTACATCAGGTTCTCAGAAAGGACAGGCACTGCTCAGTAGCATTTTGTAAGCTGTTTCCTCTAAGTGATCAAATCAAATTAGTGCCCACGCCCTACCACCCTGAGAAGCCGGATGAGGCAGAGACTGAGAGCGGAGTGTGAAGGGAGAGAGACCTCAGTTTCATTCTCAGGCTGCAGCCTGGGGCACCTGTGCCCACAGCGAGTCTCTGAAGCTAGTTCGAGTAAAATCTCCTCAGCTGTAAAATAAGGTTGATAAGGACCACGATGCAGGCCAGGTTAGAAGGTGGCGGAAGACTTGGGGAAAGCCAGAGAGTTGTACCAAAGCAAGTACCGACAGAAAATGTACATCCAGACATTCTGATGTGGTGGTGCTTATTCTAAATGTGGTCATACAGATGATCTAACAACGCTTTATCTTTCTAAATTATCGAGATAATCACGCATGCACATATACATATGCACCCCACCCCCAAAAATATGCATATATAACAGCTATATTTAGAGGACCTTAGGACCCAATTGAAGACTCACTGGTCTGTTTCCAAAAATCAAGACAACAATATGTTCCATCACAACGTCAAATCAAATAATTAGGATGTGAGTTAAGAAAGGTTAAAAAAATTCACAGGCCCAAAAATATTTTTAGATTTTGTATTAGATATGTAATTTTATACACACACACACACACACACACACACACAGAGGGGGTATAAATAGGTAGGTACATAAAAAAACAACTGATCATCTAAAAAACTATTTATATCATGGAGAAATCAGAATCTAAAAAGAACATGGGCCTCTTCTTCAAAGAGCTCAGTTGATTGTTTTGCCACTTTTTCTTTTCTGCCACTTTCATTAGAACATAAAAACTATGAGGACAGAGGTAACATCTGTTCATTACTATACTGCTAACATTTAAAATAGAGCGTAGCACATAGTAGGCAGTTTGTTGATAAATACTGCTGGTGTGAAGGAACACGATGATGAGGAGGAGGAAGAGAATGACTACATGATTACTTTATATTTTTACAAAGGGATTTATATCTTGTATCAGTGTGCTAACTTCATTTACCAATAAAGAGTATGAAAATCAGGGTTTTCAGGGTTGTGACCTCTGTCCAAATCACGCACTCAGGTAAAGAGCTGAAGCCAATTCAAACTCACACTTTCCGATTCTAAGTCCTGCGCTCATCCTGAGTCCCACCCTGGCCTTTGAGTTTCTCTCTACCTGAAAGTAAGAGAAGGCATTTTGCTTTAAGTAGCAATGTGATAACTTCAGAAGTTTCTGCAATAGTTTGGGTTCCCAACGCTGGACATGACCTTGAGCAAATCTCAATTTCTCTGAATCTCTGCTTTGCCTTCTGTGAGAATATTTGCAGTGTGAAATGTAAAGATGTTTGCCAGGATCTCCTGTGTGATTACAGATGTGTCCTGCTGCATGTAGCAGACACGTGCTTCAAACTCAATTCAAAGTATTAGGATGGTGCTACAAGTTACCGTGGTTTCGTCTTCACTTTGAGTGGCAAAAACTGCAATCACTTTTGCACTGACCTAATAGCTTACTTTATGACCAATGGAAGTTCAGAGGTAGGAAACCCATAGGACAGTTGAATCGGCGGCTCTAAAATGCCACAATGAACCCAGGTTCTTTCCACTTGCTCCTCTGTCCTACACAGAGTCATTTTCAACTGAGGTGGTCAGAACCCAACATGGCCACTGCTAGTCCCGTGGACACCTATGTCCACAGGAAGTGGAAAGTCTCTCTTCCTTGTGTATCTCTTTTAGGAGTAGGAAACCTTCCCCACAAGCACCCTCTATACTCATTGGTCAGGATTGGGTCATGTGCCTATTTCTAAACCAATCACTGGCAAGGAGCATATGTTAGTATTATGGGCTTAGATTAGTTATTGGAGGCAAAAGGATCTTGGGGAGTCATCCATTGTCACTGCTCTGATTACGTTTACAAAAAGTGTAAGGCAAAAATAAATAGTAAAATAAGCCTAAGATCTTATTTTTAAAAATAGTGCCCAAACTATAAGTAGCCTAGCTATCCAACAATAGGGAATGGTTACATAAAATACAATTCATTTACATAGTATAACCTTAGGAAATTATTGAAATATTTTTCAAGCAATGTTTAATGACACGAGAAATCCTTGTTATTTTAAAAAGTATGTGTGTGTGTGTGTGTGTGTGTGCATATGCCTATATATTATAAGCCCAATTTGTTTAAAAAAATACTATCACTCAGAAGAAAGAAAAGAACATACAACAAAATATTAAGAGTGATCATCTCATGCTAGTGGAACAGAACATTTTCATTTCCTTCTGTCCAGGTTTAGTTCAGGTTCTTGTTTTCTTCTCCTTCTACTGCCATGCAGATTATTTATTACCATAATCAAATAACAAAAGTTCATTTTCAAAGTAACAAATGATGTGTGAACTCCAGAACTGCGATGGACAGCAGGAAGTCAAATCAGGCTGTGTGTCTGGGTCCAATCCAATCATTTACTTAGGTCATTATTTAAGGAAGATTTAGAAATACACAGTCTAATAAAAATACATATACATATAAAAGAAATATAGGTTTGTCTATCAACTCTATTTTTATCACAGAAGAATCAGAATCTCAAAAGAAGAAATATGGCATCTTTTCCACAGCCCCCAATTCTTGGAGATGATAAACCCTAAGTCCTGCATGATTGAGGAGTCTTGGCTGGGTGCTGAGGATGGCAGCAGCTGTCCAGGTAACACGGGGAGGCCCTGAACAGGTTGAGTCATACATGAGCACAACAGAGGTGAGTAAACTGCTGAGGGGTCTGGATGATTTATTATTACTTTCTTTACAACCTTTTATAGAGTCCACAAGTGTATTTGATATTCATGAGACATGGCTTCCAAACTTTTTTTTTTTGGAGAGGAAGTCTCACTCTGTTGCCAGGATGGAGTGCAGTGGTGCGATCTCGGCTCCCTGCAACCTCTGACTCTCGGTTCAAGTGATTCTCCTGCCTCAGCCTCCTGAGTAGCTGAGGCCAGAGGTGCACACCACCATGTCCGGCTAATTTTTGTATTTTTAGTGGAGACAGGGTTTCACCATGTTGGCCAGGATGGTCTCCATCTCGTGATCTGCCAGCCTCAGCCTCCGAAAGTGCTTGGATTACAGGTGTGAGCCACTGTGCCCGGCCCCAAACATCTTTTAAGTTTCCAGAAGCCCTGGTCTCAAGCTACCTTCTGGACACTTGGCTTATCATGAGGCCTCATAGGTACTTCCTTTAAAAAAAAGTCCCAGGAAGGCCAAGAATACATTCACCTTATACCTGATCTAGGTGGAAAACAATCACCATAAGAATGTAATTGGTAACGGCAACCATCCCTGTGCCGGTTATCCCATCTTACTTACACTCTCTCTCACTCCGTATGGGAATAACTAACAGTACTCCCCATTCTACAGATGAAAAAACTAAGACTTAGAAAGAGTAAGTCACGACTCTAACCAGTCAGTTTGTTAGAAGCCAAATTCCCACCCAACAGTGTCTCCTAGCAAAACATAAGCTCTTTGATAACGAAGAGGCTCCTCATCAGAGATTTTGGCTGCTGCCCCTGCGCTCCTCAGTTATGTACTGATGCTTATAACCTGCACTGGTTAGAGAAGGGGAGGCCAGGGTCATGGGCTGGGGACTGGGTCTCTGAAAGCAATAGCACTGAGGTTCTAGGTGAAAAGCATGAACAACTAAGCATGGAACAGGTAAAGGCAAGAGTTTAGCTCTAGACCTCAGGTGAACATCAAGGAGAGACTCTGGCATTAGGCCAGCCTATCTTTGATGCCATTTTAACAATCTGCTCACACTTCCAGGGACCTGCATGGCTTCCCACCTCCAGGGGACTTGTTCTCCTGCCAGAGTAAAACACTGAATAGCTGCTTGTATTCAACCTGACATCCACAGATATTTAAGAGTCTAATTCAATCGTTATATCTTTTCTGCAGACACAAAGGAACCACAGCCTTCCGGCACCTCGGGGCTCTCCTCTCTCTCTCTCTCTCTCTCTCTCTTTCTCTCTGTCTCTTTCTCATTTGCCTTTCTTATTTAAGCATGCCAGGGATGCACACACACACATGAAATTGAACAGATTAAGTCAAGATGCTGTATAGTAGTGCTACACTGGTGCTTCAAATACAAGAAAACTTTGTGGGCTTCTGATCCCCACAGAGGGAAGCCAGGTATCTGGCCCTTGGATTGGGGTTCTAACCTCCTCATGACTACAACAGTTGAACAGATGGGCAATGGTTTCAGCAGTCAAGGAGCTATGAATCCAACAGGAGAAAAGCCAAATTTTTGTCAGCCCTAAGCTTACCAGTCCCTCTGTTAAGGAGAATCACATAACTATAAGGTTTCAGGATATAAGCCCAACAGCGAAGCCACCTTTTCCCAATTCCATTTCCAATGGAGGATGTGCCAACTACGTGATAATATAAACCTGAAATATTCTTTCTACATCAGTGTGGCTTGCTGGCAAAAATCCACAGTGGAACCTTTGTAGGCCAGCTGAGATTTGTGGGACAGAGGAGACGTGGCATGGAAACCCATTCCATAACCTTTCACCATGCGTAAAATTTACTGTGAATGGAATTCCTAGAAGTCCATGTTGGCCTCTGATTTAAAACTATTAAATCTGGTTTCCTGAGAACACCTCCATTATAATAAATACATCACTTGACAACATATGCTAATTACACCATCTCAAAGACCAGAATGAACAACCCATACATGAAAAATGCATTTGCACGCAGGTGTCCTGGATTCCTATGACTCGGGCTTTAGATTTGGGTTGAGTCACCGGGCAAATCTCAAGCATGGCATGAGCAGGCTGATGTCATGGGGGGCAAAGCTGGGAAGCAGGGCACAAGGACACCAATGTCACTCAAGTGACAAATCGAATCTGTGTTCATTTGGAATGGGGCAGTGTCTCCAGCTTATGGAATTTACGAGGAAAACTATCCGTATTTTTACAGATAGGACTAGGCCCTTCTGAAAGGAGAAAAGCAGATACACGTACTTCACCTTCAAAGTGTGTCCTGAAGAAATCGGAGAAACATTAATGGTCACTGCATGTAGTAAACTACGAACAAAAAGGAAAATGAGGTCCTTTTGATGCAAATTAGCCAAACACTCTTTATTTTCCTTAATCTGAGTTCATCTGTCTTACTTTTCTTCCTCTTCTTCCCTTCCTCCTCAGGTATTTTAGCCAGTCCTACTACCTTCTAGCTGCTATGACCATTACACAGATAAAGTAAAATAGACTTCCAATCTACAAACACTCTAATTAAAAGAAAAAAATATACACTGAAACCTGCCCTCCATAGAATGACAGATAAGAGAGGTGAATCAAGATGGTGGCCAATGCTTTCGATTCAACCACAGACACAAGTTTAGATCCTGCTTCCACTACTGCGGCTCACCGTCTTTGGAGGACAAGGTCATTTAATTCCTCTGTATGACCATGAACCAGACCTGCAAGTATGTATGTGTGAGGTTTTCCTAAGGGGAAAACGCGGTAAGTAAACCCAAGTTGCACACTGTAGACTCAACATATAAAGTAATAACGTAACAACAGTACAATTTTAACAGAGGTCAAAAGTGGGCAGAGTCATCAGTAAAGGAAAGGAGGGAAAGTAAGCAAAACCTAAGATGTGGGAAAGGCCAAGGTCATGGTATGTGTTAATAAACAGGGGAAGGACCTGGCACAGTAGCTCATGCCTATAATCCCAGCACTTTGGGAGACTTAGGCAGGAGGATTTCTTGAAGCCAGGAGTTCAAGACCAGCTTGGGCAGCAGAGTAAGACCCCTGCTTTGAAAAAAAAAAGCTGGTTGTGGTGGTAACCACCTGTAGTCCCAGCTACTCAGGAGATGGAAGTGGGAGATCACTTGAACCCAGGACTTACAGGCTGCAGTAAGCTACAGTCATGCCACCACACTCCAACATGGGCATGAGCGAAACCCTGTCTCTAAGAAACTTAAAAACAGGCCAGGTGCATTGGCGCATGCCTGTAATCCCAGCACGTTGGGAGTCCAAGGCGATGGGATCATTTGAGGTCCAGAGTTCGAGACCAGCCTGGCCAACATGGTGAAATCTCGTCTCTAATAAAATACAAAAAAAAAAAAAATTAGCTAGGCATGGTGGGGGGCTGCCTGTAATCTTAGTTACTTGGGAGGCTGAGGCAGGAGAATCATTGAAACCTGGGAGGTGGGGTTTGCCGTGAGCCAGGATTGCACCACTGCACTCCAGCCTGGGCGACAGAGACAGACTCCCTCTCAAAAAAATAAACAAATAATTAAATAATTAAATTGATTCAAGGATGTCTCCAACTAGACTCCAGATTGTGGCAATGGGGAGATTCACATCCTCAAGACTTTTCCATCATCAGGGAAGGAAGTTCCTACATCACAAAGAGAAAGCTGGGCCCAAAGAGAAGGAAAAGACTCTTGTTGACATCTTCTGTATATCTGGGACTAGCAGAGTCTGAGCCAGTTACGGACCTAAAGTTGTCACTTTCACAAGGCACCCCGCACTCCAACCTGCCCCACTTCAGCCAGCTGGGTGAAGCTTCTCACTCACAACCAGCAGATCCTGACACAGCAGAGTTTGTTTCAGCTGAGGGGAGATAAAAGGAAGGAGATTCTAGGCATGGTCTCTGCCTTTAGAGAGCTTATGTTCTAGCTCTAGCAGTTGGCAAAACTGAATGAAGTGAAAAATAAAATTTAAAACAGAGGCCAGGCATGGTGTCCTGTAATCCTGGCACGTTGGGAAGCTTAGGAGGGCAGATCACCTGAGGCCAGGAGTCTGAGACTAGCTTGGCCAACGTGGCGAAACCTTATCTCTACTAAAAATACAAAAATTAGCCAGGTGTGGTGGTGGTACACACCTGTAATCCCAGCTACTCCAGAGGTTCAGGAAGGAGAATAGGATTTTGAATCCAGGAGGCAGAGGTTGCAGTGAACCAAGATCACATCACTGCATTCCAGTCTGGGTGACAGAGTGAGACTCTGTCTCAAAAAAAAAAAAAAAAAATTAAAATATATAAATTCTGATGAGTGTTAGGAGGCTAAGGAAAGAAGGGGCTAAGATAAAGGATGGAGGGACCTTACTTTCTTTAGTTAGGACAGGATAAAAGGCCAAGTGTAGTGGCTCACACCTGTAATCCCAGCACTTTGGAAGGCGAGAGGATTGACGGAGCCCAGGAGTCCGAGGTCAGCTTGGCAACCTAGTGAGACATCATCTCTACCAAAACACCAAAATTAAAACCAAAACACATCCCGGCTCTACTCTGAAACCTGCAGGTGTGTTATTTGGCATGGCAAAGCGGACTTCGCAGTGGGAAGCAAGTTCCTGAGACGAGGAGAGTATGCTGAGTGAGACGAATGCAGTCACCAAGGACCTAAAGGTCACAAATAAATCTAAAGAGATGGCAAAGGGAGAGAGAAGGGGCAGAGCCAGAGAGAGAACTGAAGACGCTGTGCTCCTAGTTTTCAGGATGGAAGATGTGGCCATCCGCCAAGGAACACAGGTGGCCTCTAGAAACTGAAAAGACCCTGGTATCTCCCCTCCCCTCTCGTGCTTCCTTTCTCCCAATATGTCCTCTGAACATGCTGGCTCCCCTTCAATTTTCGCCATGAGTCGAAGCTGCCTGAAGCTCTTATCAGAAAGACATTGGCACCATGTTTCTTGTACAGCCTGCAGAAACACGAGCCAAACAAACTTCTTTGTAAATGACCCAGCTCAGGCGTTCCTTTATAGCCACACAAAAGGACTAAAACAGACCTATTTTGGACTTCTGACCTCCAGAATGGTATGAGAAGACATTTAGGGTACGTAAGCCACCAAAGTGTGGTCATCTGTTATAGCAGTGATAAGAAACTAACACAGATGGCCAGGATGGGCCTCCTTGAGGAGGGAACGTTCATACCAACAGCTCAGGAATGAGGAGGTGGTAGATATACGAAGCGCAGGAGAAGACCATGGAGGAGAGAAACCTGCACGGGAAAAAAGCCCTTAGGTAGTAAACAGCTTAATACAATCTGATAACAGCAGGCAGGCCTTCGTAACTAGATTATATATTGCTTAGCCTTGGAGTTTACAGAAGAATTTAAAGAACTTTAAATATTCAGTGCAACCCAACTTTTGAAGAAAACAAAGGATTATTTAATGATTTCCCTCATCTTAAACTCATTGAGGAGTAGAACCAAAACTCACCATGTATACATAGCTAGCACCAAGAATTCCACAGAAGTACCATTTTCCTTAGTAATTTCTATCTATATTCCTAACACTCATTCCAGATTTTTCTACGTGTCCTGTTCTGCTATATACTCTCCTGTTGTATCTACTAGTATATTCTTAAGCCTAACTAATAATAGTGATGAAATAAATATTTGGTGGATAAAGGTGCCCAGTTTGGCCGGGCGCAGTGGGTCACGCCTGTAATCCTGGCACTTTGGGAGGCCAAGGAGGGTGGGTCACTTGAGTTCAGGAGTGTGAAACCAGCCTGGCCAACATGGTGAACCCCCATCTCTACTAAAAACACACAAAAAATTAGCCAGGCGTGGTGGTGGGTGCCCGTAATCCCAGCTACTTGGGAGGCTGAGGCAGGAAAATCGTTTGAACCTGGGAGGCGGAGGCTACAGTGAGCCAAGATCACCCCACTGCACTCCAACCTGGAAGAGTCAGGTTTTTTTGAAACTCTGTCTGAAAAACAACAAAAAAATAGTGCCCAGGTTTTTGGTCTGAAAATTCACTCCCTGATGCTACACATCCCCCATGACCTGCTCTCCTAAGTCACCCCAGAAACAATTAAAATGTTTTGTTTGCATAGAGGACAGAGATGACATGTGGGGTGGGTATCTGTCCACTGGCAGTACCTGTCTGATCAGACGCTTAGGGTGGGGAGGGGAGAGGGAGGAATAATGTTTGTTTTTTTTTAATAAAGTATTATCAAGATATCAAGGGAGCTGGAGGTTACTAATTATGGCAACTGTCTCATGCTGGGAAGAAAATATTTTTTTGGAGGGGGGTGCTGTCCTCCATCCCATTTCAGCTGCTGAGCAAGCAAAGGGTGAGGTGAATAAACTCTACCACACAAGAAGTCTAGGGCTTCCTTTTAAATCAGTTCCTAGAAGGCAAGGAACCAGTATATCATAGTGAGACAATCATTTATAATGGGGCCATTATTAGGAGCCAAGATATAAAAATCATACATGAAACAGCCTTATAAGCAGATTCACTGCGTGGCTGATTAACCTCCCTCTCCAACTGGAGGCTGGACGGCTCTGGGGAGTGGTAATGAGATGTGGAAGTCACTTGCCTTGAGGTCACAGGTTTAAAGCTGGACATGTTAGAAGGGGCCTGATTGCTACTCATGGGTGACTCGGCAGCACACCTTATGAGCTTGGAAACTCAGAGATGGGGGTTCGAGTCCTGGAACTGCCCCTGAACTAGCCACGGGAAATTTGCAATAGTCACAGATCCTCCTGAAGCCTCAGTTTCATTACTTACAAAACCCTGTCAAGGTTGATTCTGCTGTCGTTTGTATTAGCTCAATATGAGTATACTTGGCACATGGTAAATATTTGATAAATGATAATTATTTGTGTTTTCTAGGCATCTGTGTCTTCTTTTGACTTATGAGGCATTAAGAGGGCAAGAGGTGTCACAAACATTACAAATTCCAGAGCTGTCGGATCCTCTTGGGTCTGGATAGCAGCACAGAGCTTTTCTGCCTTTTCAGGTAAACAATGGAGAGGATCTTATCTTGGCTTATCTAGTTGGGGTTAACAGCAGCAGGGATAACAGTAGCACTAACATTTACTTTATGCCAGGCACAGTTTAAGTATTTCATCTCCGTTAACTGATTTAATCCTTACAGAATCACCGGGAAGCAGGTCCCATTACTATGATAAGCCATCATCCCAGGGTTCTACCCCTAGTACGATGAGTGCCATAGTTTGACAGGATTCCAGAATGTGGTTGACAATTAAAGTATTTCCCAATCCTAAAGGGCTGGACAGAGTTAGAAAACATGTTTTTCCTGCATCTGGTACGCGTGTGCCTCGCCCAGGATTCCACACTGAGGTATCCTGATGTGGACCCGCACAGCCTCAGCAGAAGCAGAAGAAATGCCACAGTGGTCCAGATAGAAACTGCCAGGGACACCTGTGTTCATTCTGCCAGCCCTAAATAGGGAGAAGGAAGGGAAACACGAAAGATAGCCTTCATCCCTGTCTCCCCTGGCAGCAGCCCATGGCAAGAACATGGGGACCTAGCTTGCCTGGAAATCTCATCCATCAGTGGCTCCTGGTGGTGGGAAAATCACAGAAGCAAATGAAGTGAGGACTGCAGGTCTGGCCAGCCTTGAATTTGAGCTGGTGCACATATATGAAGCTCAGTAAAGCTGAAGGATTCCATCAAGGCTGCAACAAAAGCAGGGAGCCCAAAGAGGAGGGAGCAAGGAGAGAGACTTTGAGCAAAAAAGCAAAGTCAGCATAAAGGAACCATGAATCTAGAGACAGAAGCACTGGGTTCAAATCCCAACTTTGACTCGTAGTCTGATCCTTCATCTCCCACCTTCCTCCCTATATTCCCTACCCATTTCCTTAACCTTGAAATAAGTCAACACCTTCTTGACAGCATGAGATTTTATAGACTAGATATTCACAAACTACCTCTCAATTGGGAATTCCAATTCAAGTATATATTTAAGTGCCATATATTTAATTTTTTTGTTAAATGGAGAGAAATCGTCAATTATTTGGGGGACGGTGTCCTACCCAGGCACGTCAAACTCAATTTGGTAGAGTATTTCACTGTTAATTCTCCAATAAATTGGTTGTTGTTTTTCTGTTTTATTCCCCCTTTTACGCTTTCCAAGGACTTACGGCTCTTGATGAAAAGGGAGGAATAATCCTTTTTTCCCTGTCTGCGATCAAGATCTATTTGGTAACCCACTCCTCTAAAACCGCCTGTGCAGAGAAATAATTTCGGCTCCCTGTTAATTTGAGTATTGAACTGAAATTCTGCAGCTGCTTTCTGCCAAGCTTGAAAGCAGAAATTAATTTCAATGACCCAGGCGAGTGGAGGGGAGCTCTGTCAGGTAATTAGTCTTCGTCTTTTGCTACTCAGGGTCTATCACCGTGTTAATCCATACATAAACCTAGGCATTCCCGGAGTCGCTCGCAATCTGCAGGGCCGTTTAACTACCTCTTGCTTGGGTTGACCAGGAGCTGGGCAACTGGAGGGAAACAGATGAAGGCTCCCTTTCCCGTTTCCCTTCCTTCTACCTTTTTAGGGCTGGCAGAATGAATGTGGCTGATTTACATGTTCTTTTCCCCATTTGATTGAGTCTGCAGTTGATTAAATAGAGCTTGGGGTGGGAGAGGGGATTGGGTGAGGAGGGGTTCCCCCCCCCTCCTGCTGCTTTCTGACTTGCCAGTTTATTAATGAAAGAGCCACGGATATTGATAGCTCTGACACTACAAGTGCAGCAATTAAAGGGTATGTCCTTCCAGGCTTCTAATTAAAAAGGAGCCTTTTTCTCTCCACCGATGGGTCCCATTGTCATATTTGCATTCGATTGTGGCTCCGGTTTGGGGGTTTCTCTGTCTTTTTTTTTTAGAAAAAAAAAAAAATCTCCTGGGGGAAACTTAGACCTGAAAAAAATAAACACAGCGTGAAAGGCTTTGTTCTCGATGGAGGTCATTCTGAAATCCAAGGAAGAGAATTTTTTTGGAGGCGGCACCTGTTCACAACCACAGGCTGCCTCTCGCCCAAAGCCCCTTCTCTTCAGCTTCAGCTGTTGTGTTAGAGTAACCCTCAGCTAAGACAAATTTCACAGCTGGTTCCTTTCGCTTCCCTTCCCTTTTCCATCCTTTCTTTCTTTTTTTTTTTGGAGATGGAGTCTTGTTCTGTCACTCAGGCTGGAATGGATTGCTGCGATCTTTGCTCACTGCACCCTCTGCCTCCTGGGTTCAAGCAATTCTCCTGCCTCAGCCTCCTGAGTAGTTGGGACTACAGGCAGCATGCCGCCATACCTGGCTAATTTTTTGTATTTTAGCAGAGACTGGGATACAATGTGTTGCCCAAGCTGGTCTTGAATTCCTGAGCTCAGGCAGTCTCCCCGCCTTGGCCTCCCAAAGTGCTAGGATTACTGACGTGAGTCAGAGCACCTGGTCCCGCTTTTCTTTCCTTCTTCCTCTCCCCAACTTTTAAGTTCCAGGGTAGAATGTGCAGGATGTGCAGGTTTGCTGCACAGGTAGACATGTGCCATGGTAGTCTGCTGCACCGATCAAGCCACCACTTAGGTATCAAGCATTAGTGGTTCTTTCTGCTGCAAACTCCTGCTTCATTGCACTACGGGAATCACGTCACACAAATGGTAGGAGCCGGTGAGGTGCAGCATGTAGAGAATAAGGCTGTACCTTGCCCCTGTGTCCTTCTTGCCAATTCTGAACACCAGGATTCTATCCCAGAGCAACCAACATGAATGGCACTCCAAACATTCAAAGAAAGTCAGAGATCTGAATTTCGAAGTAAAATATTCCTTCAACAGTATCCATTCATTATGCTGAAAATCACCAGTCACAAAAAAGCACACACGTATGACCCAAGGAGTAGACACTGGCAACGTCAGAGACTCTATTGGCTTCCCTACAGTCCTGAAGATCCATTTCTTCTCAATACTGAAGGCTTTGTGTCTCTACTTTGAACCCCTCATCTCAATGAAAATGAGTCTGCCCGGCGGTGCTGTGTCACTTTCCCATCTGGGTGGTCAGAGGCTGTGAAACTGACCCAGCACTATGTGGGATTTAAGAAGGAAACCAACTGTGACACCCAAACACCTGCCTCCTACTCCTTCCACAGGTGACATTAGATCACCACTCTGTCTTCCCAGAAGTCCTCATCCTCACACAGATGCCAATCTGGGCCTAGTGTGATAGCTCACGCCTGTCATCCCAGCCCTTTGGGAGAATGAGGTAAGTGGATCCACCTGAGCTCAGGAGCTCGAGATCACCCTGGCCAACATGGTGAAATGCTATCTATACTAAAAATACAAAAAACTAGCTGGGTGTGGTGATGGGCACCTGTAATCTCAGCTACTTGGGAGGCTGAGGCAGGAGAATCACTTGAACCAAGGAGACAGAGGGTGCAGTGAGCCAAGATCGAACCATTGCACCCCACCCTGGGAAACAAGAGTGAAACTCCATCTGGGAAAAACAAAAACCAATCTGTGCCCCTGGAGTGTGAGGGGGCCTCTCTCCCCAACCCGCCCACCACCAGGTTCTCCAGAGGCAACTCTGGGCTTTCTCTCAGTTCATTCATGAACACGCTGCAGGATGTCCAACACTTTTTCCATCTGTGCACTTCCCTTTGCTCATCTGCAAAGTGAGAGAAGCATTCTGAGCCCATCAGTCTGTTGTGAGGTTCCCACGAAGCAGTGTATGGCAAAGTTGGAGCCCACATACCTGTCTCTGAGTAAGGACTGACCCAGCTTGAGTTACTCCCCTGCATGTGTCATCGATGCTTGGGCACAGGCATTAGTAACTTTTACATCTTGGGAGTTGAGTCTTCCAAACTGAATAGACTCTTGGGTTCAAGTTCCTCCCCCTGCCCAAAAAGAACAAAAATGTCCAAGCATTGGACAGCGGGCTGGTCTTTCGGCCCCAGCTTTTCTACCTCTGGAGGGTTTCAGTTTCTCCTCCACAGGACTGGTAACATTATAAAGGAACGCAGCCCTGCTACCCAGTGAACCTTTAGGAAATTAAGCCCCACCTACCAGCTCCCCAGAGAAAATTTCCCTTGTTTTAGACTCATATCTCTCAGGTTTTCTTCAAAGTTCTTTGTCCAAGCATAGGACTAAAGCTTGGAAATAGAAGGAAAAAAAAAATTCCTGAATCTTCACAGGAGCCACAACTGTGAAATCTCCTCATTATTTCTGATTTTACTGTGAATTCCTAGAACTGCCACATCTCCGCCCAGCCTGGGGTGGGACGCGCAGGGACAGAGAGAGCGCCTTGACAAAGAGAAAAACTCTACTGCTCTATTTGATTGGAATCTGAAGTGCTCTATCTCTCCTCTGACCGTCCCGCTATTCCCTCCAGCCTGCTGCTGGGGCACCACGGAAAAGTCAGAAGCATTAGTCTGGTGTCAAGTGGCACTGCTATCCACATTCTATGAGAGTCAATTGCAATTAACAGGGTCATTCAGAAAAGGCAGGTATAGGCCAGACAAAAGGAGCACAGACAGATCTTATCAGAGCCCAAGGCCAGCAGGCTGGGTCTGGGCCTTTCAGATGCTGCTTGCAGAGGAAACGAACAACATAAATGGTGATGGAAGGTGGAAGGGGGAGAAATGACAAACTAGCAGGAGGGGCAAAGGACAGGGGATGAAAAGAGCTGAATGGAAAGGTTGAAAGAAGAAACACCGACTACTGAGACTACCTTTTGGGTTCAGATCCTGACTCCGCCTCTGGCCACTTAGGAAAATTAGAATAGTCATTCAACCACTCCAAGCCTTGGTTGGCTTGTCTGCAAAATGGGAATAGAAATTGTGTGTTCCTGTTTTGTTTTTTATCTTTTTTTTGAGACGGAGTCCTGTTCTGTCTCCCATACTGGAGTGCAGTGGTGGGATCTTGGCTCGCTGCAATCTCCAACTCCTGGGTTCAAGCATTTCTCTTGCCTCAGCCTCCCAAGTAACTGGGATTACAGGCACCCACCACCACACCTGACTAATTCTTTATACATCTTTTTAAGTATAGCTGGGTTTTCACGATGTCTGCCAGGCCGATCTCGAACTCCTGACAATCGTGATCCACCGGCCTCGCCCTCCCAAAGTTATCACGTCTGGCCTTCTTCCTGTTTTTAAAACTGTGATGTAAACTAATTGTCATGGGAAACAGTGGTGAAGTTAGTGCCTGGCACTGGGCAGTTTTTAGAATAACTAAGAGAAGAGCTTAGCTTAGAGTAGGGAAAAGAGGTACAGGGAATGCTGAGAGAAGTGGATTATTTAAGCAAGCTTCCCAGGGAAGAACTAAAACACTGCACAGCCAGGTGAGCAAGCTGAAAGTGATTCTGGGTCTACCTGGTGGAAAAAGGTATAGAGACCCCTCCCTGCCACTCAGAGGAAGTAAGGACCCTACAAGGAAGCAAAGTCCCGCATGCTCACAGATGCTGATACCAGCTACAGAGGTCCCTTCTATGTTCCTAAAGGCTGCAAGATGGAGACACACACAACACAGCAGGTCCTGGGCCGGGACGATGCTGCCCAGGACCCAGGTCCCTACACATTGCTCCATTTTGACACTGTGAGCTGCCGCCAAAGGTGCTGAAATTTCCTTTCACGCAGAAGGGCTTGAGCACCCACTATGTACTTAGCTCTGAGCCCTTTATCAAGAGACATACAGCAAAACAATGTCTCCAGCCCTTCCTCCTTCTACCTTTCATGATCTGGGAATGATCAGGGAGTAAGGAAATGGGATGTAGTAGAAAGTTCCAAAGAAATCGAATTTCCAAAGTCAGGTGGATCGCTGATGAGTACTATAACTGTGGACCAGTGGCTGAGTACCTTTAATAGCCTCATCTGTAATGTGGGGGCAGGAACGTTTCTTCTTTTTTGCTGTTGTTGCCGAAGCTGGAATGCAGTGGCATGGTCTCAGCTCACTGCAACCTCTGCCTCCTGGGTTCAAGAGATTCTCCTGCTTCAGTGTCCCAAGTAGCTGGGATTACAAGCACCCACCATCAAACCCAGCTAATTTTTGTATTTTTAGTACAGATGGGGAGGGGTGGGAGAGTGGGTTCCACCATGTTGGCCAGGCTGGTCTCGAACTGCTAGCCTCAGGTGATTTGCCCGCTTCAGCCTCCCAAAGTGCTGAGATTACGGGCAGGAACATTTCCCATCTCACATAGAGTTATTGTGAGGGTTAGAAAACGCAGATGATATGATGGGCATTTCACGCGTGCCATTTATTTTTCATTAGTCCACATTCCTTGGTGTGGTGCAGATGAGCAGGGACTGGACAGCCTGAACCCTCAGACCTGTCTCAAATGCACACCTGCCTCTGCTGGGTACTGGGCAGACAAGGGGAACGCATCCAAACCACACCAGTCTCTACCGCCAGACAAGGAGTCTTAACCAATGCACAGGCCCTCTGATGGGTCCTTAACAACTGGTCTCTAAATGATCCGGCTCAGGGCTGCACCATGAAGAAGGTGTCTGAAGGAACAACCAATTAACAGGCGGTTGAATGCCTCTTGATTCCCTCCAGAAACAAACACACGACTGCAGAACAGGTGGGAAACGCCTCTCCATTCTCACTTGCTGAGCTAAGTCGCCTGTTTTTGTAAGTGAGCACTTACCTTTCAGGCCCTCTTACAATTCCAGAAACTTGAGGCTAAAAAAACCATTAATTATAAATTTTAAAAGTTCCCACGGAGTGAGAGAAAAGAGGGTCATTAGCAGTAAGCAAAAGCACTGAGAATGGCGGGTGGGGAGAGCCGCCACTCTATTTTCTACGAGGAAAAAAAGATAATCCACAGCAGAACCTCATTAAGTCAGTATCAGTTTATTCAAAAGAGCTTATCATTCGCAGCAACTATTCCCCAAACAACTGGATGCCTCTACTGTAATCTTAACACTGAAAGTCTGATGATTAAATATATTAATATATCAGAGAGACCAGACTCGATTCAAAGGTAGGGGACTTGGTTTATTCTTTGACTGTGATGTCTCTGAGGTGTCTAGTATAGCAATTGACACATAGTAGGTTTGCAATAACCCTTAGCTCCCTCCCCTTGCATTTTGCATTATCAGAGCTTCGACCTGGTCTATAACGTGTCTAGTCCATATCAATAATAACCTGGTTTCCATTATAATATACTACCTTTTATTAAACTGGAGCCAGAAACTCTTAATAGCAAGAGCCTGTCCAAGGCATTTTAATCACTACTAGAGTGCAGATGTCTCTCCTAGGAAAACACGGGCAATGTTCCGCGGCAAGGAGAGGGATCGTCCATCTACCTTTGCGTTGGCAGGATGAGTTACGAATTGTATTATCCATGCAATTAGGCCAAGGCTTCCTCTGTACTTCCACAGTGACCTCTCTTGGCTCTGTATTATACGAGGCACTTTTCTCTATGTCCTGGTTTCCAAAGCATCTTTATCCCCTACAGTGGCTACCACGGATGTCTGCATGGAAAGGCCAACTTCTGAGATGTGGGCATGCCTTCCACTAGCTGTTTTTCCGACATGGACATCCAGCCCAAGGGCAAACTGATGTTCGGTGCTTTTCATGAGGACGCCAATGACACTGATGTGGATGTAGATGACGTTGACAGCGCTAAGTACTAAGCACTTACTGTGTTAGTGCCTGCGTGAGTGCTGTTCAAGCACTTTTAGCATCTGACCTTCTCAACAACCCTTGAAGAAAGAAACTACTGACATTTTCATTTCGTAGATGAAGAAACTGAGGCTTAGAGAGGAAGAGCCACTTGACTGAGGTCCCCAGAAAGTAAGTGGTTCAGCCAGGATACGAACCCAGGTGCATGATGTGTAATTCTGCAGGTTTCACACTTCTCCTTCCCTTCTTGTCCAGTCAAGGACAACACATGAGAGCTCCTGTAGTTCCTCCCAGGGGCGCAGTCGCCCAGGTCCCCCAGTCAGGATCTAAGGCGGTGGCCGAGATCCAGGTCCACCTGCCATCCTTCCTCAGGCTTTTTGGGCAATAGATTAAAGGGACAACCAGGCATCTGTCCAGCAGGCGAAATACTTAAGGTTTAAATTGAAAGGGTCTCATGCATCTAATTCTAATAGCCCAGAGCCAGACCCCGGCAAATCCTGAGTCAGGCAGCGTTTGACTGCAGATGTTGAGTAGAAAGAGATACAGTTTTGGCATTAGGCACTTTTAGATTTGAAATCTGACTTCCTGGTGGGCAAGGTTTCCTATCTGCAAGGGGTGGGTGGAGGGATATGTACTGCGAGGAGGCTGTTGGGGTTGGATGAAGAATCTCTTTTTTTTTTTCTGAAGGAAAGAAAAAAAAGGAGTGAAGGAGAGGAAGAAAAAGAGGGAGAGAGAATGGGAATGTAGCTTTATTCTAAAAATGGGTATTAATAATGGTCGATCAATATTTTGTGTATTTAAGGTGGAGAATGTATATTTTGCATATTTAAAATGGAGAGCTCTATATGAGGAATCTGTAAATGAGGAATCTCAAGTGAAGGCATGGGCTGAGGCTGGGATGAATTTATTTACAGGCTCCTTCCTGCTCTGGGCCCTTTTTCCTCCTCCTTGTTCACAAAGTCAGCACTTTTCTAAGCCCACCTACACACACACACACACACACACACACACTCACACACACACACACACTCACACTCACACTCACACACACACTCACACTCACACACACACACTCTCTCTCTCTCTCTCTCTCTCTCTCTCTCTCTTTTTCTTTCTCTCTCTCTCTCCAGATGAAGTTTATGGGCAGGATCCATTGGTTTTAAGTCCCTAGAACTTTAAACACCCCCACTTGCTTTCGCAATCAAACAGCATTTTTGGTGCAAAAATCAGGGAATAAGTGAAAGAGATATTAAAGAATGACTTTAAAATAAAAGCAGATGCATATCATTTCCACACCTGGGCGTTTCAGCATCCATTTGTAATGAGATGCCTGTCACGCACTAAACTAACTGCCCGCTCTTAGCTGACCACTATTTACGGCATCCCTTTCTCCTGGACATTTGCATTTTAAACTTTTCAAAGACAGAAAGAAGTGAATCTCTAATGGTAAAAATTCTTAGGCCAACTGTACATAAAGGTCTCTGGTACAGAGGCATACATCTGCATCTCCAACCTGCACCTTCTCTGGGTTTAAGAGTGCTCCCTGGTGTGTTGAAAAACAGGGTCCAACCCCACAGCTGACTGTCGGTTGGCCCAAGGGTTGCCTCTTTGGGTTCTCTAGAGGGTCAGACTGATAAAAGGACACTCAGTTCTTTGGTCAACAGGGCTGGGATTGTTCTCAGCAATGAGAAACCTAAAAAACAACAACAAACAAAAAACCTCAGATGGTTCCTGCCCTGCTCACGTAGGTGACCTACATGTGGGTTGGAAGGAAAACCGGTCCCAGCCCCTGTTTGTTGCACTCAGGAAAAGAGCCCCGGTTGCCCCGCACACCATAGCCTGGAGTTCTCTTGATGAATCATACATAAAGCAGAGAAGAAAGCCAGGCCTGCCAGCCCAACTTTGCACTTCACAGCGAAGCAGAAAAGCACACAGGGGGTAGCACAAGTGGCTTTCTTGAGAAGCGGGCCTTGCAGCGATCTGTTTATGAAAAGGAGGAGACCTTTGTAGTGGCATCTCTGCAGCCAGAGGCCTACCAGCGCACTCGTCAGAAACCCGCACAATGAAAGGTTGGAAACCAGTGTTGCTGCGCGTTTTCCAGAGAACACATGACCTAACCAAAGTTCTGAACTCGTGGTTCTGTTTTAAAGTCATACGGTACAAAATGCAGCGTCACCTGCTCAGGCTTGAAGACAGGAAGGGTGGAGAGGGAGGAGCGAATGAAACCTTTACAGTCCAAGAGCTCCTAGGTTCAAATGACTGCCCTGTCCTTGCCTAGCTGGACAAGCCCATGTAAGGCACTTGTGCTCTCCAAATTATTATTTTGGAGATGGAGTCTTGCTCTGTTGCCCAGGCTAAAGTGCATGGCACGATCTCCGCTCACTGCAACCTCTGCCTCCCGGGCTCAAGCAATTCTCCTGCCTCAGCCTCCCAAGTAACTGGGATTACAGGCACACGCCACCATGCCAGGGTAATTTGGTATTTGTAGTAGAGATAGGGTTTCACCATGTTGGCCAGGCTGCTCTCAAACTCCTGACCTCAAGTGATCCGCCCACCTCGGCCTCCCAAAGTGCTGGGATTACAGGTGTGAGCCACTGTGCCCAACCACGTTGACTTCTTCATCTGTAAAATGCGGATTCCTCCCCAACGTGAACCTCCCCTTTCTTTTATACTTGGCAGGGGTGTAGACGTGATCAGGTTAAAATGTGACCAACTGAGAAAAGAGAGGATGTGTGGTACGAGGAGGACACTGAGGGGTGATATCAGCACCTTCCTCATTTACCCCACCCCTTTCCTGGCCTACTGCCTCTTCAAAAAAATAACATCTGCAACATAAGTAGGACAGTCCCAAAGAAAGGACTCAAATACAAAGGTAGCGGAATAACTCAGTAGTGATTCTAATACTCTGAGCATGCGGCCCTCTTCCGCGTCAAATGCTACGTGCTTTAGTAAATTATACCATTTATTCCTCACTCCCCTCCAAAACATTCCCAGGAAGCAAATACTAGTATTAACGCCATCGTACAGAGATAAAAGCACAGCTCAGAAAGATGGGGTCATTTTGCAACTAGTCACTTCATACGAGAGAAGGGAATTCAACCCAGATATTTCCAGCTCTTGATCTTAAGCGTTTACCTACCAAGCAACTACTTGCTAACTTGCTGGTTTGCTCTTCAGTTTCTGGATTTTATGGACCCAGAAATCTTTTTTTTTTTTCCTAGAAAATCTGAAATATCTGAAATCAGGTTGTCAACTTTTGTTTTCTTTTTCCAAGTAAGATGACTTAAGAAAACATCTATCATCTCCAATCACTGTCATTTCACAAAAGATAGAATATTTTAAAATCCAAAAGTGCATGAAAGACAGCAGTGCCAATAAAAAGGAAACAAGCTTCTCCTACTTCTAATCACTATGGAAAGAATATTTTGGCTGGGTGTGGTGGCTTACACCTATAATCCCAATACTTTGGGAGGCCGAGGTGGGTGGATTTCTTCAGCCCAGGAGTTAGACACGAGCCTTGACAACAAGGTGGAACTTTGTCTACACACACACACACACACACACACACACACACACACAGCCAGCCGTGATGTTACACACCTGTAGCCACACCTGTAGCCTGGGAGAAGGAAGCTGTAGTGGGCCAAAATCGCACCACTGTGCTACAGCCTGCGTGACAGAGCGAGACCCTGTCTCAAAAAAAAAAAGAATAGTTTAACACTGAAAATGTCTGTTGAACATAATCTCAGAATAAAGGACAATCACACAACTAAAATTGATTTAGCTTTCTATGAAGCAAGTCTTACATCTGTCCTAATTTTTCTGCAGTTTGCCGTACTTGGAATATCCTGACGAGTGACAGTTTGAGTTGTTTAGGGTGTGGCTGCTCGATCTGCCCAGCTCTATCTCAGCAACTATGAGTAGAAAGAGTCTGATGTGGTGAGGCCTTGAAACAAGTCATGGAGAATCCTGGGTGAGGAAGGGGTGCATGAGATGGCAGAACTGACCTGCATCCACTCCTAAATGTGATTTGTACAGCTGTCCCTCAGCATCCACCGGCGATTGGTTTGAGGAGCCCCCATGAATACCGAAATCTACAAATGCTCAAGTTCCTGACAGAAAATGGTATAGTATTTGCATATAATGTGTGCACTCCTCCCGTATACTTTAAATAATCTCTAGATTACTTATAAAATCTAGTACAATATAAATGCAATATAAATAGTGATTATGGTGGATTGTTTAAGGAGTAATGACCAAAAAAAAAGCAGTCTGCACACATTCATTGCAGAAACCACCCTCTGTTTGTTTGTTTGAATGGTTTTAATCTGTCATTGGTTACATGCACGATGCAGAACCCACAAAGCTGGGGTGGGGGGGGGGGGGGCTGACCGCCTACGGCTTCTTTAATTCATTCAGGCATTATCTGTTGGCTATTTTCTTGACATAGTTGGGACTAGACCTCAATTGTGTTGGGCACTGAAACGCCAACCCAGGTTGGGTGGTTTGCAAGGAGGACTCACAGGACTCAGCATACAGTCACACTCAGCTGAGATTTATCGCAGCAAAAAGACGCTAAGCAAAATGAGCACAGAAAAATGATAAATGAGGCAAATTCTGGGGAAAACCAGGTATAACAATCCAACTGTCCTCCTCCAGTACAGTCACACAGGACACAATTTAATTTCTCCCCAGTAATGAGCTGTGAAAACATCTATGAAGCACTGTCTACCAGGTAAACGTATTAGGGACTCAGTGTCCAGGGTTTTTATTGGAAGGAGGTCATGGACCACCCTGGCATGTACCAAAATTCCAGCCTCCACAAAGGATAGCAGGTATTCCACATGAGCCATATTTTTGGTACAAGCAGTCTAGACACAGTGAGCCGCTGTTATCTGATCTGGAAATGGTGATAGCCCTCCTAAAATCTGACTTCCCAGATGGAGTCAAGAGCCCAGCTTTCAACAGGCTTCTGTACTCTTTCCCACACAGCAACAATGAGCAAAATGGGACACTGGTGCCTGGCCTTGGGAAACTTACAGCCAGGTGAGGAAGAAGCAATCATCACACTATGATCATTCATTCATTCAACAATTATTTTTGAGGACTCTCTATGGGACAGTGACTGGTGATAGATTTTCAGTGAAATAGACTAAAATCCCTGCCCTTGTGGAGTTGAGAGTCTATATGAGTAAGACATAATAAGTGCTAAGGCAAAAAAAGAAGGCAGGGCAGAGAAGCGAGGAAGATCCATTTAGGTGCTGGCAAAGGGAAATTAAGTTTGGATTATTTTCTGTGTTCTAATTAATTTTCTGTTTCTGAAAATCTACTTCTTAGATAATTTTCTAAAAACTAGAACTCAGTTAATTTTCTATTTCTAATTTTTCTTCTATTTCTAATAATGCACATTTTTGGAGTGAGTTCAAGGGAATACTTATCTAAAAGACCCCTGCACGTCAGAGAAAGTGATGATGCATTCAAACCCTTAATGATGAGAAAGCCTTGATTAGCTAAAGCAGGTTGGGAAGATTAGCCAGAGACAGGAGCCTATGCAAAGGTCCTGTGGCAAGAAGCGGGTGGGTGGCAGGTTCCTGGGGAAAGTGGTATAAAGTAAGTTGTAGAGGTTGGCAGGGGTCTTACAGGGCCTGGAAAGGATTTTAGTATTTTATCCTAAGGGACATGGTGAGCCACGGAAGGGAATAAACAGGGAGTGGTAAGTAGGGTGGTGGCAGGGTAAGATCTCTATTTTAGAGAAATGACTGCAGCTTCCACCTGAAGAAGGGATTTCAAGAGAGCCGAGAGGGGAAGCAGAGATGCCAGTGAGAAATCTTACCGACAACACTGCTATATAAGGCACTAACTCACAGATTTGGAATTCATCCTACATTGCTATCAAGTGTACTCCTGGGACATAAAGGAAGGCCTAACCTCACCAATGTCTTCTGAACCCCATCCCTTGTGGAGGAAAAAAAAAAGCAATACCCAAGAGAAAAAGTCTTCCTGTTTTTAGAGTCTTTTAAATGGCATCAGAACCCCAAAGGGAAAACTCCAACATGGGAAAGCGAGCGGTGCTGCCCTTTGAAAAGTTTTAATTTTATTTTAACTTTGCTAAATCTACTTACATTCACATTTTGAAATATGTATGCACGATAAAACACTGCAGTTATGGTCTATTGGGTTAAAAATCCACTTTTTGGAACGGGTTCAAGGAAATACTTATATAAAAGACCTCGGAATGGAAAGTAATTCTGCAGATAAAATAGAATGGAAACATCTCCTAAATATGTCCCTTGCAAGATAAACGCACAAATGAGGAGGGGGCCTGGGACCATCACAAATGGGAGATTCACAACAGCGGCCTCTTAATCCCTCACAAAACCAGCTGGAAGGGAAGCGCCTGGCTAGTCGTCAGCATCAACATTCAGACTCTTCCAAAGGTCTCTCCTCTTCCTTTCATAATTCATTGGAAAGCAAGAAATTAACCCCCAATTTGAAACAGTGAAATTCCATTCTACCATGCCACTTACAAAGCATGGGGCGACCACGGTGTTTATTTTGCAAAGTTCCAGACAAAGAGAGCTAAAAAAAAATTTGCTGGAATAAATCCATCAACAGGCATCTCAGTGCTTATTCTGTGTAATTATCCTTGTATGGGGAGGCATACAAAAAAAGGAAGAAAATATGTTCTTATTCTTAAGGAGCTGGCAAGCCTGTTAGGAGGGTAATTCTCGGCTCCAAGCATGTATCAGGACACCTTGGGAGCTTGATAGAAATACAGATTATCAGCACCCATAGCCCGCCAGCCCCAGACCTCGTGTATCAGCATGGCCACACAGGGCCTGGGAATGTATGTTTAAAGCAAACAAAGAGGATTCTGCTGGGGGCTGAGATTCTGAAACACTGGACTGAAATGAAAGGGAAACTTCAGGAAACATTAGCACCACTGAATGTGACATGAGAGACAGGCCTTACTCCTCAGTCGGCCAAACCCTCCACTCAAGGTAGCATCCCTTAGATAGCAGTCATGACAATACCAAGCATCCAGCCTTTGCTTTTCCATCTCCAACAAGGTAAACAGATCCTTGGTGGGATTCCACTGTAGAGCCACCATCTACTGACCTTCGAAAATCCTTACGAAGTCTGACACTTCCTGTGTCTCTTCATCCCCTGGTCCTGAGGCTGCTCTCCCAAGGACACATGCCAGTTTGTCAACAGAGCTCTCAACACATGACACTCAAGGCAAAAAACAAGATTGCAGGCATGTTCTGGACAGTGCCAAATCCACGGGACTCCTGCCTCTCTTGATCTGCACATTCGACGTTGACTAATGTCGTCTAAGTCAGCATTATCTTGTTAGACCCCAATGCACCTGAAATCACTGCATACTCTACGTTGCACCTTTTGTCTCGCAGACTTTTCAAAATGAAATAGAGTTAACAGAGGTGCCTCTGTGTTGTTCCAGAATTTTCCCAGGATTAGCATCAAGGTTATTTATTTCTTGTCCCTGTCAATGACTCTTCTCTCCCCAGCCCACGCCCCATATTCATTGTCTCCCTATTTATAAGTCCAGTTTTTCCTCTTTCTTGTTTTTCTTCTCCTTTTCTCTGCGGTTTTCTCAGGATCTCCAACGGAACACCCGAAATCTCATTGGTGACTTCTTGTGGGCCTCCTGGGCCATTATTCAACAACTTACAGAATCACAGAATGTCAAGGTTTGAAGGGGCCTTGAAGACCAGCCAAAGGAAACCCCTTGTCTTTAAAGAAAGTATGGTGTAGAGAGGACACAGGGGAAACTGAATTGCCCAAGGGTGAGGCTGAGCCAAGACTAGGACTTGGGTCTTCTCCATGCTGAGTAATTTGTGATGGCCTCCCTTTGGGACCTGAAGACCTGGCTATGTGGCCAAGCAGGTTCAGAGGGCTATCCCCTGGGGAGGTATGTTAGCAAACACACCAGGGAAAAAAAGTGGGCCTGACAGGGACTTAAATTATATAAAGTAAATTGTGAAGTGAGAGGTCTCACCCACACTGCTTACTGCTCTGGTGTGATTTTTATTTTTAAAAAAGGAGCAATATGGCCGAGATTCCAGAAATCATAGTAGTATGCTGCCCTTTGTGGGGAGGAGGGAAGAGGAGGCACAAAAACAAAACAAAAAAGAAACGAAAACAAAGAAACCAAAGGAAAAACACACCACACCACGATGGGTGTACATCACAAGAACATAGGAGCCAACAGCTGCAGCTTTTGAAGGCCAAATAAATAGTTTCATCTGAAAAACTTAAGCAATGAAATAAAGTAGTATAGGATTATACCATAAAGTGTAACTGTCCGCAAGTCTGCCTTGACATAAACAAATTATTAAGTAAATGGGGGAGAAGAGATAAATATTCCATGCAGAATTCCAAGTAGTTTATGCAGCTACTCTACCCTCAAAGAGCGAGAACACTAAATCCCCACTCCACAAGTGAGCTGGGCACAGCAAGGGACAGAATAAGTGTGCAGCAGAGACACCTGATAACCACTACCTTGACCAGGTGACTCGATGTCACCATCAATGGTAAGTCATGATAAATGTAGACCATTCAATATGATGTGATGAAAACAGACCTCTGGGGTCTTCCACCCTGAAGTTCATTAACTCCAGTCCGAATCATGAGAAAAGCATCATACAAATCCCAATACAGGGGCATCCAACGGAATACCCAACCAGTACTCCTCAAAGCTGTCAAGGTCATCACAAAGACAATTCTGGGAAAGTCTCACAGCCAAGAAGATGCTAAGGAGACCCGACAATTAAATAAAACGTGGTATCCTGGATAGGTTCCTGGAACACAAAAAGGTCATTTGGTAAAAATTTTTTAAAAACCTAAGGCAATATGTATAAACGATGGACTTTAGTTATTAACAACATTAGTCTGTACAAAAGTAACTGCTGTTTCGGGCATTACTTTTAATTAAAAGTATAATCCTATCATACTTGGTTTATTTTGTTTTAATTAAAAGTAACGACCAAAACTGCAAAAGTAATTGGCAAATAGCAAAAACTCCAAAAGCAAAATCACATTACTTTTAATGGCAAAACCACAATTCCTTTTGCACCAACCAGGTATTATTATTAACTATCGCTTTTAACGGCAAAAATTACTATCACTTTTGCACCAACCTAATATATCGATGATTTAATCTTAATAAATGTACCAAGTAACATAAGATGCTAAAATAATAAGGTAAACTGGACGTTACATACATGGGAACTTGGTACTATAGTCTCAATTGTTCTTTAAATCTTAAATTTAATACTTAAATCTAAAACTGTTCTAATGAATAAAGTCTGTTTCAAAAAATAAAAACATACGCCAAATGAAATTAAAGAATAGCATATAGAAAAGCATATGGCATTCTGGAAGCAGGTTGAGGGTTGTTTTGGGGGAGAAATTCAGGATTCCAGTTACCTTCAAATGGAACATGCTGGCTTTGGATGGGGGGGCTCCAGGGATTCCTCTTCTGTGGTGAGGGTCACAGTCATGGGAGCCTCATGGAAGAACTGAGACTAAAGAGTGGGGCTAGGGCAGGGCCTCCAGTGACCCCAGCCTAAAGGCAGAAGTAAAGTACAGCTGTCCTCATGAAGCTGAGTTGTTAGAGGATCCTTCAGTGTGATGGGTGACGTTCTCCAGAAAAGTTTTGGTAGATTAGGAATGGAAGCCAAGACTTCAGACAGCTTGGGACCCACCATGCGAGAAAGTGGCTACAAATCAGAGTGCCGGGGAGGACACCCCTTCCCAAAGACAGGCTCTTGTTCCAGTGATGGAGGCAGAACGCGGGGTCAGCTGGGACATTCTCCAGGCTGTGAAGTGGGGCATAAAATTCTAACCTTTGAGGTAAAATGAACAGGGCTTTGTGTGTGCACACTCCAGGTAAACATCACCTTTCGTCACCATGCCAGCATTCAAAATTGTGTTCATACGATACCTGCTCCTTTAGGCAAACAAATTCAAGCCAGGAATCATACAGAGAATAACACCTCCTCGTTTGCCACTGCGTCGTACCACAATAAATAATTTCCAGCCAGGGTGCTGGAGAATTCCAAATGATAGACATATTATGTTCATGAAAAGCAACTTTGAGAAAAATCTTTCTGCAATAAAAGTGAGGGTTTTTTCCCCTTCTTGGCATCTCAGCTTCCCATAGAAATGAGTGATTTTCTGAATTTCTGCCAAGTTAGATGGGTTCAGCATGCTATTAGATTAGTCTGTTTATACAGAAACAGCCAAAAATAGGAAACACACAGAAGCTATTAAAGATATTGTCCTGTGAGGGAAAGATTTGAATGGTTTTCTTACTGCAAGTGGGAAATAAGATATGAGTCAGTATTCATGTGACAAAGAAGTTAATGCGTTCGAAAGCAAACCGTCCGATTCTTCACCTTGTTTCAGAGGTGACAATAAAAGGAGCATCCAGACAATTACTTAGGGTTGGGTGAGCATAGGAGGCAGAGAAACTTTCTAGACCCCTGCCAGGTGGAAATACATGTCTTTTAGTATATAGTGCTGGGGCACCCAGGGAGTTTTCAAAGGGGAAGATGCCAGGCCAAAAAAAAGATTAAAAATAAATAAATAAAACAAGGTTTCAGAAATTCAACAGCAAAATTCCGATTTCACTTTTGCCCTTGGTTTGCTCTGCAAACTAATGGAAATCATACGACCTGTTAGGTCAATGGGATTCAAGGAGGACGGCATCTGCTGAATTCTACGGGCAAGCTGCTGTGGGTTCTTACTTTCCTCACCTATAAAGTGGATGGTGCAACCTGGACTTTGAAGTCCCCTCATTTCTCTTCAGCAAGTCCCCATATGACCAATAGAGCAAAGACTGTACCACATTCTGGTCACGTGAGCTGCTCCTGATGATATGCGATGCTATACAATATGTGGACTGTGTAGGTGGAAATGTGTCTAAATCATGTTCATATGTCTCAGTACTGTATATTATTTTCTTCTTTGTTCACAGTGGAAAATCATGAAAAACAGGACTTTCCTTAAAAAGGACACCTTTTTTTTGGAGACGGAGTCTTGCACTGTTCCCAGGTGTGGGAAGAGGTGGCCAGGGGCAGACCTGTGGTACTTATAGTTAAATGATTGCAAGCTTGCTTTACTTTTTATAACTGAGATTTGTACCACAGATCATATCCAAACTATGGTGCAGTAAAATAAAAGCAGAGATCAAGCGGTAACAGAGAGCCTCTGGTAAAGACCGTCTGAGCGCGCGGGACACTGCGGTGTGGCTGCAGAGCAGAAAAGCTGCTGCTTTGGTCCCACAACACTTCCCAACATAGAGTTTATGTGAGGATCTCATAAAGGGAGCTTATGCAAAAGACCCTGGGATGGAAATGCAACCTCTGCTCCTAAGACTCGGGAGGGTCTTTGCAGATGGTTCTGGTAAGGCTGGAAGGCCTTGCAGGGCAGAGAACACCAAAAGGCCACAGGCTCTGCCTATGTTCTCAGAATATGAAGCAATTCTGATTGCTCTGTGTCCACAATGCTCGGGAGATAAAAGCCCCTGACGCATTGTGTGTGGTCAGACCTCATGGCGCTGCTGCACCTCTGTTGCCAAAGCACCTGGTTAGACAATGGGTGGTAAAATCTCAGTGTCCTTAGGTAGTGTGTCTTTCTGAGAACCACCTTTGCTATTGAATGCTGCAGACACGTGCTCTTCCTCCTCGTATCTTCCTCCTCAACCCCACTCCCCACAGCCTGCAAGATTAACAAGATCATACACCTAATAAAAGCGCTTGGCCCGGAGCTCAGTGCCAATGGGGATCACCCCGAGAGAGTGCCTTGCACCCAGGGACCCATGCTGTAAAATTCTATTCTTGTGCCTTTATCTTTATTTCTTTTCTCACTCCCTCATCACTGCCAGGACACGGGGCGCCCATGCACAGGGTTGGGCTGGTTCCCAACACCCAGGCTGGAGTTCAATGGTGCAATCTTGGCTCACTGCAACCTCTGCCTCCTGTATTCAAGCGATTCCCCTGCCTCAGCCTCCTGAGTAGCTGGGACTACAGGCACCTGCCACAAGCCCTGGCTAACTTTTTGTATTTTAGTAGAGATGGGGTTTCACCATATTGGTGAGGATGGTCTCCATCTTCTGAGCTCGTGATCTGGCTGCCTTGGCCTCCAAAAGTGTTGGGATTACAGGCGAGAGCCACTGCGCCTGGCCCACATTTCTTTATTTTGAGATGGAGTCTTGCATTGTTGCCCAGGCTAAAGTGCAGTGACGTGACTCAGGTAAGAACATCATGGTGCCCTTCACAGCCTGGTTAATGTCCCAGCTGCCACTGCACTCACTGCAACCCCTGCTTCTTGGGTTCAACCTCTCAAGTAGCTGTAATTACAAGCACGCACCACATGCCTGGCTAATTTTTGTATTTTTAGTAGAAATGGGGTTTCGCCATGTTGCCCAGGCTGGTTTCGAACTTCTGATATCAACTGATCTGCTGGCCTTGGTCTCCCAAAGTGCTTGAATTACAGGCATGAGTCACAGTGTCTGGCCAAAGAGTACACGTTTCTTATGAGATCATCAAATTCCTGGCTATCCTCTGAAACCTGATAAGCAACTAAGAACTTGCTGTGCAGTGAAATGTCAAAGAAAGGTGCAGTCTCTGTCTACTATAAGGGGTGTATTCATTTTCTGTTGCCATTTAACAAATTACCAAAAGCTTAGCAGCTTAAAACAACACCCATTTATTATCTTAAAGCTTCCATAGGTTAGGAGTCTGGGCATGCCTGAGCTGGGTTCTCAATCCAGGATTTTACAGGCTGAAATCCAGTTGTCTGGATGTAACAATATGGTCTCATCAGAGGCTTGACAGGGGATGGTCAATCACCTTCAAGCTCCCTTAGGTTGCTAGCTAAACTCATTTCCTTGTTGTTACAGGATGAAGGTCCCCATTTTCTTGCTGGTTTCTCGGGGGCACTCTCAGCTCCTAGAAGCCAACTTTAGTTCCTTGCTGCAAGGTAGCTTAATTTTTCAAAGCTAGCAATGTAGAGAGAGACTTTCTTATTTTAGCTCCTCTTTAAGGGATCTTCCCCTTACTAAGTCAGGCCAACCCAGGGTGACCTCCTTCTCATTAACTAAGGAATTGTCTGATTTAAGACCTTAACGGTATTTGCAAAATTCCTTTGCTTTGCCACATAGTGTACCCCGGCCTAAAAAGTTACATCCAATTATCTTTTTCATATTCTATTGGTTAGAAATCAGTCCCAAGTCCCACCTACATTCAAGGAGGGAGAATAAGTCATCACATCAGGTCTTGGACACCAGGAGGTGGGGTATCACTGGGGCCACCTCAGGGTCCACCTGCCAAATAGAAGAAGAAACTACAAGGTTTCATTTCTTTTAAAGATGGACTTTCATGCTCATTGCCCAGGCTGGAGTACAGTGGCACGATCTCAGCTCACTGCAATCTCCGCCTCCTGAGTTCAAGTCATTCTCGTGTCTCAGCCTCCCTTGTAGCTGGGATTACAGGTGTATACCACCATGCCCAGCTAATTTTGTATTTTTTTGTAGAGACAGGGTTTTACCATGTTGGCCAAGCTGGTCTCGAACTCCTGACCTCAGGTGATCTGCCCACCTCAGCCTCCCAAAGTGCTGGGATTACAAGCATGAGCCATTGCCCCCAGCCACAAGGTTCACTTTTAAGAAGTTTTATCACAGTAGGGTCAGGATTTATTTAAGCATGAGCTTACAAATGTGGTGCAGGAGAAGCATGGAGAGAAAAAGGACAGAATCTCAAACAAATATCTTCCAATAGGTCATTTCTTTTCAAGGTTTTCCTAACATTACCTGCTGCCCAGGAACGATGTAATAAAATGCAGATGTGGTTAGAATGCACAGTTAAACTTCAGCAGCTGACAGCTGGATGGCCAAAACCTTCCTTCAATAAGCACAAGAATGAGCTTGGACATCCAGGAGCACTAAAACATCAAGAAAGGCAAGGACATCTTCAAAGACAAACCTCCAGTTGTCTGAAAGATTAGTACGATGCAAGGTTAAAGGTGTGAGTGAATCATTGAATACATCGGGCAATAAAAGCCAAAGTTCTGAGGTGACCAAACACAAGTAAAACGGAAGTGTGTCTGGGTAAAGGGAGAGATGCAACTGGAAGAAGAAATGAACAAGAAACTCCAAGATGAAAAAAGAAATCAGTTACCAGGGGAGAGATGAAAGGGGTGAAGTTAAGGAGGTAAGACAGCAGCAGCAAACTGCCCACTGGGAGGAACTGGGTGAGTGGTGAGTAGGGGGTTAGCAGAGGGCATGAGCAGATGTAACCATGAGTTAATGGATAGTTCAGTTAACCAGAATGATGCCAGTTAAGTATGATTCCACTGAGCTTGGCAGCCTTATTCTGGTCATTAACTTTAATGTTTCACAGATCTCCAGCATTTTCACAGGTGTGAGTTAAAACCATCTGGTTTCTGCACCATACACTGCCCATTAAAACCCAGCATCTTCAAAGATAAATTGTGGACCAAGGTGGCAGCGGGAGAAGAGAAAGGAAGTTAAAGGCTGTTACAGGCTCTACCCTCAACAGAAGGAGCCTTTCAACAGCCTTTGAGTGGGACGATTTTGAAATTGCAAAGTAGAAAAACATAAAAATACAGTGAGAGGCTTTAATCTCCAGAAACACAATCTGAGTAAATGAATTGCTCAAAAACAACCAAATAAATGCAATGCGTAGTGACCTGGACATGCAAAAAGAAAGAAGAAATAAACCGAGGGGGAAATCCACATCCAAAAGCCTGTCTTCATAGTAGTGAGATTTATAAATTTGACACACTTGCCAGCAGAGCTCACTAAAGATTTCTACGCAAATAATGCATTTTGCTAACCCATCAGTGTGCAGAAACTCAAAAAAAAAAAAAACCCCCAAAAACCTATTTCTTGAAAATCAATTCTTGTGCAGTACAGGCGCATCAAGAAGCAATAAGTACACTGATAAATATTAAAATGTGCCAAATTTTTGGCTGAGCACGGTGGCTCACACCTGTAGTCCTAGCACTTTGGGAGGCTCAGGTGGGATCACAAGGTCAGGAGATCGAGACCATCCTGGCCAACATGGTGAAAACCTGTCTCTACTAAAAATACAAAAATTAGCTGGGCGTGGTGGTATGCACCCGTGGCTCCAGTTACTCAGGAGGATGAGAATTGCTTGAACCTGGGAGGCAGAGGTTGCAGTGAGCTGAGATTGCGCCACTGCACTCCAGCCTAGGTGACAGATTAAGACTCTGTCAAAAAAAAAAAAAGTGCCAAATTTTCAAACTTGTCAGGGAACAAGAGTATCAGATAAGGCAGCAGAGGACATGGAACTGTCCCACCCTGCCCATTGTCAAGTGTCTAGTCTGTATAGGGCACACGACAAATGCACCTCTGTCATTGATGCAGCTATTTTCTCCCATCCAGGGACCAAGCTTGGGTTTTGAATGTCCCAAGCACCATGTTTTTTCCAGGTGATGTAGAATGTTCTACATGAGTCTGCCTGGAGGAAAAATGTGAAACCTAAGCGCCCTGATTGACAGGAGGCATGGCCTGGGGATTCTGTATAGATCATCAGCAGGTTCTTAGCAGAAAGCCACGTGCCAACCGTCTTCAGTATCTTAAACAGCCCTCCTAACAGCACAGTTAAAACAGCCCGCTGCTTCGTGGTTAGGCCTGTTCTTTCGATTTCCCATTTCAGAAAGCAAAAGGTATAGATTTCTTTATTATTCATCCTTCTCACCGTTAGCTAATAAGTCCACTGTCCTGATCAACTGTGCGCCTGATACTGTCCTGGGTTTTTGAATTCATTATTAATTAGATATGGTCCCCCATTTAGCAGAAGAGGAAGCTGAGGTGCAAGATTAGTCTGCATTTTCTGAGTTACTTAATCAGGAGAAGAGCTCAGTCTACAGGAACTCAGATAAAAATAAGGCCTATGGTTCTGTTACCATTTTTTTTAAGATAGGGTTTCACTCTATCGCCCAGGCGAGATGGAGTACCATGGTGCAATCATGGCTCAAGTGATTCTCTTGCCTCAGCCTCCTGAATAGCTGCAACCACAGGCATGCGCCCCATGCCTCATTTTGTTTGTTTGTTTTGTTTTCATAGAGATGGAGTCTCACTATGTTGCCCAGGCTGGTCTCCAACTCCTGGGCTCAAGAGACCCTCTCACTTGGGACTCCCAACGTGCTGGGTTTACAGACATGAGCCATCACGCCGAGCTCATTTGGTTCTTTTTAGTATCACCATTGCCTCCCTTTACTTCTTTATTTAATAAATGGAATAATAAAATTGAGATGAGAAGGGGCATCACAGCAAAGGGGACAAGAAGAGAGTGGCAGGGTCCTGTGGTTAACCTGTGCATAACATGTGGGTGCTGGTCACCGTGTGCCTTCAGTGTGTGAAAATTTGCTGAGATATACACCTGGAGTGTGTGCTCTTTTCTGCTTGCATTAAACTTTTGTGTGTGTGTGTGATGGGGTCTCGCTCTGTTGCCCGGGCTGGGTGCAGTGGTGCAGTCTTAGCTCACTCCCAGGTTCAAGCGATTCTCATGTCTCGATCTCCCAAGTACCTTACACTACAGGGGACGCCAGCACACACCATGCCCAGCTAATTTTTGTATTTTTTTTTAAATTTTCATTTTCGTAGAGATGGGATTTTGCCACGTTGGCCAGGCTGGTTTCAACCTCCTGAACACCAGTAATCCTCCCACGTCAGCCTCCCAAAGCACTGGAATTATAGGCATGAGCCACCATAGCTGGCCTAACACTTAAATAAAGAGCTGAGGAAACTTTGCCCGACAATTTCAGTATCTTACAGTCTTTGTCATGCACCAACACCGGGAGCTGTGCCTTTCTCTGACTCGGAGAAGATCCACGCTGTGCACATCCAAGGTGTCCACGTACACCCTGTCAGCCGGGTCTGAGTGTCTGGCTGTTGACCATTGCAGCCTACCGGGCAGTGCCTCCGAGCTTCCTTCTCTTCCTCTCAGGTCTCAGGTGGGGAAAAGGGAGAGGGAGTCTCTCATGAGTCATTATACATATCACAAGGAGGAAAGCAATTCTAGCTTTGTTCCCCAGATCAAACATGGATCCTGTTGAGAAGAGGTCTCTTATGAGCTGTACTGTGTCCCCAAACTTCATTTGTTGAAGCCCAGACCCTCAGTACCTCCAAATGTGACTGTATTTGGAGACAGAGCCTTTAAGGAGATAGCATGACAGTGAACCCTAATCCACTGTGACCAGTGCCCTTAGGAGAAGAGGCCATGAGGATGCAAACGCACGCAGAGGGAAGACCACGTGAAGGCAGAGCGAGAAGGCAGCCATCTACAAGCCAGGGAGAAAGGCCACAGGAGAAACCAACCCTACTTGAGGAGCAGGGAGACTCACTTCTAGCCTGGGGTTGGGGGATACCGCTCAGAACACACATTAAGCACATCCTCAGGGAAGACGTGGATGCTTCTTTATGTGGCTTCTTAAGTCCATCACCTGTGCTCTGGCAAAGTCACTACAAGATCAAGATACTTTGATCTTGGACTCCCGACCTCCAGAACTGTGAGAAACTGCATTTCCGTCATTAACCACCTGACCTGTTGTATTTCTACAGCAGCCCAAGCAAAATAGTACAAGTTCCAGAGTGAGAACGGCCTTGTGCTTTTCCACTTGAGAGGGACAGAGGTTTGAGAGCAAGGACTTTGGAATCAGAGAGATCAGGACGTGAGTCCCCGCTTTGCCCTGTGGCCTTCAGCAGGTTGTTTCTCGCCTCCAAGCCTTGCTTCCCTCGGAGGTAGAGTGTGGAGAGTCACAGCCTCTTAGGCTTGCCGTGAAAATTTAATTAGAGAACACACGAAAAGCACTGAACACTCTATCTGGCTCATAGGAGGGGCTCAATAAACATTAATCGTTAATATTATTCATATGAATGATAATATAACAAAGATTAAAAGTGCTTTCTGACTCACAGTTTGTTATAAAGACAAGTAGTGTGCACCTGCAAAGGTGCTAGGCAAAAGAGATTAATATTTTGAAGGACAGAAATGTCAAAATATAGCAAGACAGCTTCATTCCATCATCCAAATAAACATTAGCCGAGTTCCTGGGATGCTGGAGGCACTGTGCCGAGGGGCTGATGAGTGAGAAGCCCAACACGGCACAAAAAAGATGGCCATGCACGAAGACTTCCTGGGACTGGAAAGAATGGGGTGGAGCCCAGTGGCCCACCTGAGTGCCATGCAAGCTTGAGAAGCAGGGAGACTCGATTCTAGCCTGGGGTTGGGGGATACCGCTCAGAACACACATAAGCACATCCTCAGGGAAGACGTGGATGCTTCTTTATGTGGCTTCCTAAGTCCATCACCTGTGCTCTGGCAAAGTCACTGCACTGAGCATTGTGAATGAATGATCAATTTCATGAAATACTTGGGCAAAGCAGCAAAGCCAGTGTGCTCACTGTTTGTTTTATTTTGTTTTTTTTTGGTTATAGGGTCTCTCTCTGTGGTCCAGGCTGGAGTGCTATGGTGCGATCTCAGCTCACTGCAAGCCTGCCTCCCCGGCTCAAGTGATCCTTCCACCTTAGCCTCCCCAGTAGCTGGGACCACAGGTACATGCCACCACGCCCAACGAACATTTTGTATTCCTAGCAAAGATGGGGTTTCGCCATGTTGCCCAGGCTGGTCTTGAATTCCTGGGCTCAAGCGATCCACCTGCCTCGGCCTCCCAAAGTGCTAGGATTACAGGTGTGAGTCACTACACCCAGCCCATCACTTTGTAAAGACTGAATTGACCAGCTGATGTAGAGGGTTGAACAGAATGTCCAGACTATTTTTCTGGCTGTGTGCATGTTAAAGATACGTGGCAAGGCTACCCAAATCACCATGCTGAGTTTTTTATCTTCTCAGATCAGGTCTACTATCCTAAAAGTGTCTCTTCTTAAAGCAAAATGAACATAAAACATTACTGTGGACTGAATGTATGCCCCCGAAATGTACATGTTAAAATCCTAATCCCCACAGTGGTAATATTAGGAAGTGGGGCCTTTGGGAGGTGATTAGTCATGAGAGTGAAGTCTCCCTGAGTGGGGTTAGTGCTCTTTTATTCACTTGATTATTATTTTAGATGGAGTCTCCCTTTGTTGCCCAGACTGGAATGCAGTGGTACAAACTCGGCTCACTGCAACCTCCACCTCCCAGGTTCAAGCAATTCTGCCTTGGCCTTCCAAGTAGCTGGGATTACAGGTATGTGCCACCATACTTGGCTAATTTAGTATTTTTAGTAGAGATGGAGTTTCTCCATGTTGGTTAGGCTGGTCTCAAACTCCTGACCTCAGGTGATCCATCCGCCTTGCCCTCCCAAAGTTCTGGGATTACGAGTGTAAGCCACTGCACCCGGCCACTAACGTTATCTTCTTAAAGATTACCCTATTGATTTCCTAAGACAGCATCTCTTCCCTCCCTATGTATTTATTATGTATTTATTTTTTGGGAACAAGGTCTTGCTCTGCTGCCCAGGCTGGAATGCAGTGGTGCAATTTTAGCGATAGCAGCCTCTAACTTCTGGGCTCAGAGGATTCTCTCACCTCATCTTTCCAGTAGTCCCAAGTAGCTGGGACTAGAGGTGTCTACTACCACACCCAACTGTGTTTTAAATTTATTGTAGAGATGGGTCATGCTATATTGCCCAGCCTGGTCTTGAATGCTGGGCCTCAAGAGATTCCAGCCTCCCTACATGTGGAAAATAACAGGGATGAGGAGCTTCACCCAGCCCCAGCCTGCTTTTTAGCCAACTATACACCAGGTATTGAGTTGCAGAGAAGGGAACAAAGGCATCACATGACCTAGGGGTAGCAGAGCCTTAAACTCTGGATCTCCTATTAGCAGCTTCCACAGTGTTGATGACCAATCAAATAATGTAGAGTTCTTATCATGTTACTTAACCTACAATCTCCAAAAAATAGTGGAAATACAGGTATCTTAATTCAGCTTAAAACATATACTTGTACAAATGATTTTATACATAGAATTTCACAAGAGTGTTCCCAGACTCAGGTTCACCCCCTATTTTTGAACTGACAAGGCATTAGCCCTACCTTCTAGTGAGATTAGGGAGGGAGCTGCATATAACACAGCCCAGAGCAAGAGATTATTAAACAGGTGTCGACTGATTAAGCAACACAAACAGCAATAGAAAAGGGAAATCTAAGAATGCATTTAAAAGATGGGTTGACGGGTGCAGCAAACCACCATGGCACATGTATACCTACGTAACAAATCTGTACGTTCTGCACATGCATCCCAAAACTAAAAGTAAAATTTTAAAATGCATAATAATTACAAAAACAAACAAATAAAAAGACAACTCGGTTAATACTTGGAGCATACATAAAATACATCAAGGCAGAGCCTGCTGTTGGTCCCCTGTCCTCCTTCATCTAGCCTTAGTATCAAAGAGGGGAGTCCCCGGAACTGGACTAAGGTGGAGGGGGTGGTCCCTCATCTGCCATGTACCTATGTCCTTCTAGCCCAAAGACCCACATATTTTCCTGAAATTAAGAGATTGTCACCAACAGGTGTTGAATCTGCTCCCCAGGGCCAGCTTGAGAAATGACACGGAAGTGAACCCAGCAGGACACACACCATGCAGAGGCTGGATATGGGCTGGTCCAGAGGACCTGCCACCCACACCCTGGCCAGAGTACAGGAGATACTTCAGGGCCCGGGCTCAAAGGCAGCAATCCAGACTCAGAATAAATGATGTGTTGAAGATATGCTAAGCATGATTTTACCAAAAACAGAACAGAACACACATAAATACACCATCTCATTCTACCTGATTCCCTCTGCTGTGTGCATCTACTTATCCACAGTGCCCAAGCTGGAAAGGACTCTATAAAACCCAAAAGGCTCTCAACACAAATAGTTCTTTCAATAACCATTTGATGGCAAAAGCAGTATACAGCTGACAGAAGTTATTTAACCCACTGAGCGTGAATATTCATTCATTCTGATGTGAGATATTCATGTGCTTAATTACAAGGTGCTGCCTCCAGGGGTGACACATCACAGGAGGTTCAGCACATTTTCTGCAAAGAGCCAGACAGTAAATGTTTTAGGCTTCGTGGGCATACGGTTACTGTCCTGACTACTCAGCTCTGTCACTGTAGCTGAAGGTAGCCATGGGCAACATGTAAACCAATGGGTATAGCTGTAGAGCAATAAAACTTTATTTACAAAAACAGGCCAGATTTGGCCCATGGACTGTGAATTTGCCGACCCTGGTAATACACAGAATATGCAGTGTATCCCCTTCCTACAATTTAAAAACCTGTGAATTCTGAAACACATCTGGCCCCCAATGTTTCCGATAGAAAGTTGGGATCTTGTTCCCATTTTGGAAAGCATTCTTGGCTGGAAAGTTCTTTTTAAGCGCGGGGACCTTTCTCCCACTAGTGCTTAGCTTTCCCAGGCATTCTGCAGCCTTCTCCAGCAGTACTCACACAGCAAGAGCCGTGCTGGTCGCAACTTTCATCTGGAATCCAGGTGTACTGAAACGGTGGAACACCCACTATGGGTCGATTCCATCAGATGACGTGCATGCAGGTTTTGTGGCAAGAGAAAGGGTAAATGCCCCATGTGAGGTGGAAGGAAATCGGTGGGACAGTGATTCTGCCAGAGCTAGGTTTCCCAGATGACCCTCATAGATACCAATCTAGTTTCAGGAGGAGCCTTGTAACAGGGACACTCAGGGAGCTCCAGGGTCCAGAAGACCAAGTGCAACACAGCATGGGGCCAGCTCACTCATCAGGACTTCGGGGAACACACTAGGGCTTCCATACACTCAGGTTTCTGAAAGCATGATCCCCGCCCTAGTCCCGGAGAAGCTCCTGGTG